GACGACTGGTTCGCCCGTTGTCAGTATAATGTGACCGGGTGGGGCGTCCTGCTGGGTGTCTTCGGCAGCATGTCTCAGTGAGGTAGCACTATAAAATCGGCATCAGTTCCGCGCTATCACAAGGAGACAAACACGAACATATCGCAGCCTCCCAAAATACACACACATACACTACACGCATGCATCTTGCACACAGGGGAGGCCGTCCTTAAATGACCTCAGCTGTTAATAGGACGTTAAACAAAATCAAACAAACAAACAAACAAACATCTTTAGTGATCAGATTTTCCGTCTGTCCTTCTATCTGTTTTTAGCTCACCTGCCAAGGACAAGTGAGCATTGGCCCTGGTGCGGCGCCCGGCATCCAGTCCTGTCCCGTTGCGTCGTGTCCCGTCTCTATTCAATGTAAACACTTAGCAACTTCATTCATTAACAGATTTTGGTCAAACTTTATACAAAAGTCAAGTTTGGGTATACTTCGAACATCTTTGTGTTTCAGGGATCCAAGGATAAGGCCAAGGTCACATTTGCTATATATAGAAAATCATCCTGTCCCGTCTCTATTCAATGTAAACACTTAGCAGCTTCATTCTTTCACGGATTTTGGTCAAATTTTATACATAGAAAATCATCAACTGATTCAATTCAAACACTTAGCAACTTCATCCAATATGTTATGGAGATAGTAATAACATACAGAAAAAACATAAATATTAAAACCAACTTATCAACTTTAAGTGTAGAACCTTGTGTGTGTGCATACATGGACTTTATGCAGTGTAATAAAATGTTTGCTTAACCTTTTGGATAGCTTTTCAGCCTTTGATATCAGAGGTCAAGGTCACTTACTATAAATAGAACATCAGTTTGTGCACTGTATTTCAAATTCTGTTGGACTGATTACACTCAGATTTTAACTTGTCCTTCCTGGAAGAACGTGCCTGCTTGGGATAACTTTTCAGGTCCAGTGGTCAAAGGTCAATGGGTCACTCTAAATAGAAAATCTGTTTAATGCACTAATGCACAATATCTTGATTTCTCTTGGGCTGATTACGCTCTTGACTTTATATAGTGCTTCTTCAAAGAAAGTGCCTGCTTGGGACAACTTTCCAGGCCCGGGTGTTAGGTCTCTGTCACTGTTACTATATGAATAGAGAATCAGTTTATAAAATGCTAATAATGCTAAATAATATAACTACTTATATTTTGAGTTCTGTTGGGCTGATTACACTCAAGACTTTATCCATTGCTTTTATATAAAAAAAAAACTTGCTTTCACTAGTGTTTGCTACATGTATACCTAACCACAGTTTCTTTTAAATCTTCAATAAACATAATTATGGATAATAGTCACGGCGGCATTTAAAATATATATATATAAATCTTATTACCGGTTAGCTTGTAATAATAATAATAATAATAATAATTCGAGGTTCTTATATACCGCTTTATCACAAACTAGTTCGTAGGTCGTCTCAAAGCGGTTCACAAATTATTGTCCGTGGTTATAGGTCCTTGCAACCAGCCAATACCTTTCTCAACTCCCTGAGGAGCATACAGCCGATGCTGCCATTTCGGCGCTCACAGCTAGCATTCAACAATTTTAGCACTGCCCAAACACGTACTCATTTACAACTGTATAGACTTGAACAAGCGGAGTAAAGTATCTTGCTGCAAGATACAACACAGTGCCGTGCCGTGACTCGAACCGGCAACCCTTCGGTCACGAACCCGGCGTCCTACCACTATACTACAGCGTCTCCAATGTCAATAATCAAAATTATAATTTATTGGTGGGATGATTGTACTTTACTGTCGATATTTTTTTTAAACACAGAAATATATGAAAGGTAAATATAAATACTAATCTGCTTTAAGGTTCGGTTTATAGACAATATGAATGCCCACTGCATTACAGGAAAATGAACGAATTTTCCTGTAATGCAGTAGATATTCAAAATGCCTTCCTCGATACTCCAGGGATTACGCTCACTTTAGCTCTCTGCGCCCATGACTTATGTCATGACAAATCATGTATGATACCTTGCGGATATCATGATACCCATGAAAATTAGTAGTTCATGTTTCATAAATATCTCTCAATTCAATGACCAGTTAAAGTTAATGTCTACCAAGTTTCATATATAACGATGAAGAAGGTAAATTAAAACAGGAAAAAAAGTTAAATACAGATAAATTGAATATAAATATGAATTGAATAGATTTAGTCTAAGAAATATAATTATTAATACATTTAAATAACAAAACATCCAAGAGGGATCTTGGCGCCCACCATCGTAAGATATTTAAAGGTTAAATGTAATATTGATAGTCTTGTCAACAGTAAATGTATTATGCGGTATCTTTCATACCTCTGGTTTTAAAGACAAGTTATCATTGTTCACTCAATATTGAAATATCAATGACAAACTTCAACTGTCGAAATTAAAATGGATAATTGGGAGCAATCTGTTTTTAAATAATCAGTCTCGAAATGAAACATGCAGCATTATGGACCATGGGAAACATACATGAGAAAGATAAGAAAGATTGTCAATTATTTCTTCAGATACTTCTAATATATCCAAACGATCAGCAATTACCACATTCAGATTTAAGATGGCATATCATTGTTCCTTTAAAGTGAAAGGAGCCCCTAAAAGATGCTAGTCAATTCATGTTCAACCCCTCTGATACGTCATATTCAAAGACCCTAATTATAAAATCTAAATTCATCAATGTAATTTGAATATAAGTAAAGAATATGTGTAAGGCTGGTGTCTTCATAAAAAACAGTCCACCGGACTTACAACATGTCTGTGTTTTGTTTCTGAATTGTTAAACGATAATGTGAATCATTAAGGGACAAACCTAAAAAGTTTCAAATATGTCAAGGATATAGAAATACATAAATAGCAAACAGATTATTTGTACAATATATCACTTATTATTGTGAAGTTCAACTACGTGTAAATAGTTACATATTAATTGCACAGAAACTTTTCATATACGGTACATTATAGAATCTTTCACGCATTTGTTTGAAATCAGTGCATTCAATCATATGATTGACTGTAAATGGTTGATCAGATGAATGAATATAAGGCTTGACTTCTCCACGTAAAATGTAACCATATGTGATGTAGGTATGGCCTTTGCGCAGTGGCGATAGGAAAATTTCCTCTCTGCTGTACTTGTTGCAAATGGATCCGAGTTATAAATGAAATGTAAATAACTCATTGTTCATTTCTTCTGACTATTTTTTTTTTGCCAATACGTTTTAATAAAATTTGCTATGGAAGGTTTAAAATCAGAATAAGGTAGTTTACTATCTTTCGGTTTTAGGTTAAGGGCTGTCCTAGATACCTTCTCATTTCTGTTTATTCCGACATGACCTGGTATCCGAATTAAGATCAGGTGGCAGAACATTAAAATCTTGTTAATACGAAGGACAAAGTTTTATATGAGAATGTTGTTTAAGTTCCTGTTTTTAATATTTTGTAGTATAGACACGGAGTCAAATAAGATTATTGCTTTTTGATTTTATCTTTTTAATTTATTTTATTCAGAATAAGACCAACTATCAGGTATATTAGCAATTTTGATTGATGATTGGTCTAAACGTATTTTCCAGCAGTTTGTGAAGTTGTGTTTCAAAAAACGGAATCAACTGATCATTTCGTTCAAAAAGGTTTGTTTAATACTGACTGAAAAGCTGGGTTTTCTGGAATTTATTTCAACTGTGATAATAATACATCGACGAAACGATAGATAAGAGGAGGTAGTTTTGAGCCGAATCAGATCGGGACATACATACATTACTCATTAAATGGATACTTATTAAACGGTAAAGACCAACCTTATTATTTCGCTTGTTAAACAACATTCATTGTTAAATATTTTCTGGTAGCATGCATTGATCTGAAACAGGTTCTATAATAAAACATAGCGTTTACAATATTATAGTGATGTAAACAGCTTACACATTTTAAAATTTCAGTTGTTTTGCAAGTGTCAAATCTTTTTGTTATTTTTGACGCCTATGCCAGATGACATTTTGTCAATGAGCTTTAAAGCCACAACAAAGAAAACAACGACGAAGATGCGGCTCCGTTTTAAGGAAACTGCCAAAGTGATCTCGGTAACTGCAATGCATCCAATATATCGACTATTGGTGTCACAATGGCGGTTCCGTTAGAGGTCGATCCTATGGCCATACCTATGCAAGTGAGTTCCTGTCCCATGCCCGTCCGATCCACGAAGAAGACACCGGATCCAGAATCACCGGGCTGGAAGAAAGCACCGTGGCTCGTTATTCCGGCAATTTCCAGTTGGTTTCTCATAAGAACCTTTTTCCCAGTTTGGCTAAATAATCCCATCTCTGTAGAAACTGGCGTCACCACTGTTCCCTCGCTGATTAGAGTCCCTCTTGTTACATGCGTTTCTGACCCAAACTTCACCATTCTCTTGTCACTGTTGATAGTGTCCGGGTTCATGTGAATTTTTCCAGAATTAAAGTAAGGAAGATCGTCAAATCCTGAAAATTATATAAAGGAAGAGTGTTATTTCAGACGTCTCTCTCTCTCTCTCTCTCTCTCTCTCTCTCTCTCTCTCTCTCTCTCATTTCTACGGATAGTTTAATGTTTGGTTTGGTTTTATTTTGTTCGACGTTCTATCAACAGTTGAGGTTTAGGTCGGGCCTCCATGTGTGTTGTGTAAGCGTGAGTGTGTGTATGTGTGCCGGAGAGGGATATGTTGATGTACTTGTCTTCTTGTGATAGCGCGGATATGCTGCAAACTTTATATAGTGCTTTCTCACTGAAAAACCATGCCGAAGTCACTGACCACAACATTCCATCGGTCACATTCACATTATGCTGATTATCTTCCTTGAATCAAGTAAAGTCACATTCAGGCGGTATCGACAAGTAATGGGGGAATCCTGTTTCACTGGAATGACGTTATTTTCCCTCTTTTCCTAAAAAAATGTTTCTGTTTCCTTGCGTCTTTCTTTGTAATGTATTTGTGTTATCCCAGTTTTGAACATACCCCTAAGCGGTGACGGCAGTTGGGTCTGTTCCCATGGCCGGACATGAGAAAGTTCATATAAATGGTAGTTTTATTCCCTGCTACAACACCCCTGCTGATCGATGATCGAGGGCAATACACCTGCTGTAAACTTACTGGCTGTATCGTAAGAGGCGAATAACGTAGAACACTGGCATAATGTGGGATTTGCCTTCTACTTGGGAACACGAAAGTGACAAAAATAAATCTGCTGTATTTCATTGCAATATTTCGGATCTTTATATTCCCCTCTACTTCTAAGTACATTTTAATGTTGAACATTCGCCCAGGTGAGGAAAGCAATGGGTTCTGTCCTCAAGCTTGGATATACAAAAGTCCTTAATATGGTATTTGAGTTCCCTTTTTAACTTGATTTCAGTGAGATAGCACTATAAAGTCGACATCAGAGCCGCGCTATCACAGGGAGGCAAATACACCAATATACCCCGTATGACCTTATATGTTGCGGGGACGTTTAAATTCAATTATTATCTTAAATGGATTTTTAACGGCCCATAAACAAAAAAGAGGCCATTTAGGCCAATAAAATGTAGGTAAAACATGTTAAAGGAAACGACAACAAACGTCAGCTTGATAAGCAAATGTGGCCGTGAATAGTTAAACATCTGTTTGAACAGATCAATAGTTTTTAGGTAGGTTAGAATTGAAAAGATACTGACTGTTCCGAAAAGTAATCTGAGATCTGTTTTATTCTTATACTGTTGTTGGCTGAATGTTAAAGCAATAAAACGTGTTCTACTGTAAATGGGTTGCGACATGCTTTGAATTGAGGTTGTTCTTCACTTTTCTCTAAAGCTTAGATACCATTCACCGATTTCTTTTTTAGGTTTCACACAGTGTAATTTGTTGTCCACGCATTGATTTCAATTATTTCGCCTTTTTGACTAAGTTTGTTATTAAAGGCTCTAAATCTGTAAAATGTGGTTTAGATAAACAGGTGGTAGCAATACAATCGCTATAGCAGCGTGAACTGCCTTTTAATTTCCTGGTAGGAACACATCTCCGGGAACCCAGCAACATAAATGTTTTGAGGTGATACTATGAAACAGTGTCAAGAAATTTCTAATTGAGTTATTATTTAAGTTTTGTTGCAAATGCTCTGTAGAACAGATAAATAATCAGAATAGAAGATTGACTTCGGTACACCATTGGATTTAATGTGTTCAAGGGCAAGATAGACAGTGCGAGCTTCTGAAGAAAATATTTTAATACCATCATTTGATAGCCGGCATCCGATAGCGGCATATGTTGCAACTAAGGCTGCCGCGATTTTATGATCGTCTTTTGAACCATCAGTATAAATTGATTGAAAGTCTTTATATTTCAACTACAATTTCGTTTTGAAACAAACGTATTTAGTCAAGTAGTTGTTTTAAAGTTTTACACATTCATTTTTCTATAGTTTCTATCAAAGCATCTTCACTAAATAAAGTTTATTTCAGAAGCTCATTACCTGCTTGTTGCATCCGGATCGGGTTATCTACAGCGAATTCACCGCTTACTGGTTGACGTGACTGTTCTGTTATCTCCACAACTGCGGCACCAACACTTGAGGGCAAGTCTGGGTCGAACACTGCTCGCTTGACCTTACCACATCGATTTCCAGTGGAACCGAAATTTGTCGACGACGGTTGTTCTATGTATATATCGTATCTAGAGTCGTCATGCCTGTAACCATTTTCATTTATACCGTAAATGATGTGTGCACATGTCAAAAAAGCCATTTTGCCGTTTAAATTCACGATAGGTCCTATGGTCCCCGAAGATGAACCTCCTTCAACGCCAAACTGGCAGCCCATCTTCAATCTGTCATGGATATCACTACTCCTTGATGTAGCGTATGCGTAGGGACCAAACTGAAAGTATCCTTCTCTGATGTCCGTTGAAGCAGTTACTTCCCCGACGGTTAGTAGCTTTGGAAATTTTTCTTCACCAAAAGGAACAAACCCCTTTGAACTGCAGTAAATCACAATGCATGCCTCATCCCGGACGATGTCTCCGTTCCACCAAGATTTAACCGGAGACGTACTTATAAAGTTAATATTGCTATGTTTTATGAATAGTTTGTCCGTGTGCTTTTGAATGATATTCTTTAACGAAGCTCTTTTTGTAGGTTTTAAGTCCAGACGTTTTTCTCTGCAGTAGTTGGTTATTGCGATTCCTTCACTCTGTATAGATTTTGGATTTCGGATTAGCACTTTTTGCCCGAGTTCTGTTGTGATTCTGTCTCTTCCTTGTTCTTTGTCGTATATAATGAACGTATGTTTTCCACGTGCATCTGTTGTTGGCACGACGAAACGTTCTTCCACTTTCAACTTAATTGCCAAAAGCCGGGCAACATTGAATGGGAATCCTTTGCAGTCACTATGAAAATCTGAAGAAAAAAATACATCAAAGTTTTAGTACGTTTGGAATGGTTAATGTATCAGTTGTTTACTATACTCTTTTCTACAACCTTTCTACAACAGTCTAGTGGTAGGAAGCCGGGCTCGTGATCGAAGGGTTGCGGGCTCGCGCCACGGTACGGCAATGTGTTGTATTCTTGAGCAAGATACCTTACTCCGCTTGTTCCAGTCTACTCAGCTGTAAATGAGTAAGTGGTTGGGCAGTGCTAGAATTGTTGAATGCTAGCTATTAGCGCCGAAATGGCAGCTCAGGCTGTATGCTCTCCAGGGAGTTGAGAAATGTACTGTCTAGTTGCAAAGGCCCTATAACCACGGATAATAATTTGTGAACCGCTTTGAGACGACTTACGAACTAGGTTGTGATAAAGCGGTATATAAGAACCTCCAAGTATAATTATTATTATTGGTCATTTTAAACTTATACAGCAGGCCATACAAAATATGATAGGGTCTGGACACGGCAGCATTACGCTACACCTGGTAACAGTGTACTGACAACGGGCTTAAATGGTATAGAAAGTTAATGCGTGCACTTGGGTATATTGGGTATAACAGCAAATATCATTCCAAAATATAGGATATAAAGATTCATCTAGATTTTACCTTTTGAACCCCGAGTCCGAGTCTCCTTTAAAATCTTTTGAATAATAGGAATAAACGTTATATTACCAGCTACGGTCATTCAAACCAAATCGAACCCCTCTGCCCTCAGTAAATGCGTGTGTGTGTGTGTGTTTGTGTGTGTGTGTGGGGGGGGGGGGGGGGGGGGGGGGGGGGGGGGGGGGGTAACGACCTAGCAACAGCCAGGATCATATAAGGTCGAGTGTCTAAGCGCCGATCTAATGCCGACTTGGCTTAAGTACAGAACATATTGCCTTCTTTATCTGGGCGAATGGTCAACATTAAAGCCAAAATTGAGGTATTGCCGAGCAAGGCGCTAGGAAATAAAAGGTAGTTATAAGGAGAAAGAAATATAAAGATCACATATATTGAAAAGGATGCAGCAGTTTTATCGTGGTCGCTTTTGAGTCTCGTGGCCACTTTTGAGTCCCGTAGCAGAGGAAAAACACAAATTCCCTTCTCGGATGAATGTGGTTGAAGGTTATTCATTTGAAAAACTTGATAGCCTTCACAACCACCGTGCTTCTTGTCAGATAGCACGAACCTAGGGCTTATTGATCATTGAGAATAAATTGTATGCGTGCTGGTGTGTATGTGTGCTGGCGGAGGGTATGATGATGTATTTGTCTCTTTGAGATCACACGGACCGATGCCGACTAAGAGTGCAACCTCACTGACATATTATGTCAAAGTCACCAAGCAGAGTGATAGCGCGGATCTGATGCCGACTTTATAGTGAAATCTCACTGAAATATCATGCCAACGGCACCTAGCACTTCGATGATCTTAGCTATTTATAGGACATTAACTACTATACAACCAACCAATCACGAGGCTCGCTTGTTTATATTTTGCTGTTGAGGTTGTTGGAAAAGCGTTGTACTTGCATCGTCTGTTGCCTTATTATACATGAACGCACATAGTCTATCGTCCAACAAGACATGTTTATTAACCAATGAAAAGCGCCCTTGGATCAAAGACGTTGTGGGATAATAGATAATATATAGAATAAAAAATAGAACCCACGGATCAAGGATAAGTAAACAGAACCAAGGTAAACCAACTTCACATTAAAAGAAAACTGACATGAGAGAGATTGTGACTTGTTGGTTGAAAACCAGTTTTTTTGGTAGAAATTAGTTTGTTAAATTATTGAGTTTTTGCTATACATAACATCATGTGGAAATATAAATATATTTCGGCCATATGAAACTTACCCTGTTTCTCTTGGTACGATGTATCGGACAACGAGTGTAATGATGTAGAGTCCGCATCTACTATGGAATTTAGAGAAGTTTGAGTTGAAACATCTCGCCATATTGTGTCAGGCGACTTATTCTCTGGAAATAAGACAAGTATATCAGTCATAAGTTGATGGAAGTATTCTCACGTGGTGGGAACTAAAAGTCTTTCGTAATGGAGTGGCTGACCTACTTGCAAGTCTGGTATTCAAATATTTAGATGGTGGTCACAGGATTCAAAACTATACAAGGATTAATCACGGGGGAGGTGGGGAAGGGGATGGGGGCAAAAACGAGTCATACAATATAACTAGGAAATTATCATTCCTATATAAACAATTGTAAGTTAAATCAGAAAAGAGCAATGAAACTGGATGGCCCCGGGGGTTAGCCTAAACTCGTGGAAACGTAAGTGTCTGGTTTCATCTTTGAAACTATAAAGAAACTCACCCCATAACTTCATATATACATTTGCTGGAAATAAACAGACAAACACAACCATGATATTTTAATTGACTCTTGGGTAAGGCCATAGCCTTTGGGACCTTGCTGGTCCCATTTTGGAAAAAAATGAGATTCCTTCCGTATAACCAACTACACATTTACAATAGCTGGGCAAGATCAAACTAAACCAAACATTGGGTCAGGCCACACCCTTTGGGATTTTTAAAGGTCATACCTTGATAATATTTAAGGTCCCCTCCCGATATCCGAATAACCGACTAATCATATGACAATGTGTCGGCTCCAGATAAATTGAAGAACGACATGAAACATATAATTAAAATATATTATGGTACAAGGTCACGTGATGTGTGAAGTCACAGTCTATCCGATATTCCATTATGTGTACCCATTTTGACAAGTTCTTTACATATTATCTGCATAACAGCGTAAGTAATGACATCAACAAATAAATGTTGTATGGGTAAAATCATCAATCGACAAATGAAGACATCAATAAAGTTCCTATCTGAAAGAGAAGTTAAATATTCAAGGATGAATCACGGAAATCAAATTTCGGGCCAGCATTCAAGCTGAGACACAGTAATAAAGAGATATAAAGATATGAATGAAAAAGGTATGCCAATTACCTGTAGGTCTTACCACTTAATACCATGGTCAAAGGGCATTCACGTTTCCTACCAATAAACTCTCAGGGTAACTAATTACCCAGTGGTGTTACCTGTGAATATTATGGCCGAAGGGCATTTATAACCGATCCTCCAACTATTCCCCAATGTTGAAAAAAATGTTGTTGAAAGGACCATATTTAATTTCATCAGAATCGAACTGTATTTTTAAAGCATTTTATTATTTCTGTTGTAACAGTTGTGCTGATATGACATTTACTGCAAAAGTGTTAAACCAAAACATTTATTGAACACGTTTTTTAACAAAAATATATCTTCAGGAGCGGATCAAAGATTTTGTGATTAGATGCGTAACACTATTTTCAGAATACACCTTCAAATTTTTTCATGTACATGTCATCTGAGACCGCCAATAATCCTAACTAATCTAAGTCCTGTTTATAGAAAATGTGTTTTAAAAACACAACCAAAACCACCAATGTTGTGAAGCCTAGTTTAATTGAATACCACCAACTAGAGCGAGGCAACATTATTTTCTTATCCAGCTAGCGATGAGTGGATATTTGGGAACCTGTTTCTTTCCTTAAACCGATATTTATGAAATATAAAGCAATATATGTTTGTGGTTGAGGTTTGGATAATTACTTCAAGTCACAACTGAGTGACGAGTGGGCAAGCTGTTTAATTATTTGTAAAGATGTTGTAAACAAATATTTTAATCGTTGTTGAACGGAGTTGCCAAATGGTGTCTCAGAACGGTACACATTTTCATATTTTTCAATACACGTTAGAGCGAACAAAAATAGTACATATTTACTAATTTTACACAGAAAGAGTTGTATGTTAGTGATTTGAAGTGAAATGGAAAAAAACAACATTAAGTGAGGAAGGGCAATTTTCATTTTCATATCCCGATTTCAGCCGACATCTTAAGCAATATTTCAATGAAACAAAATTTTAAACTGTCGTGTTATTTACATTTGTTCGTGAAAGTGACAGTTTGATTGACACTAGACATAAATTGGTTGTTCACGTACACATTTCATTTCATCATATTTTATTGAGTAAACAAAAGGATTGAACAGTAGGCTATGACTATATAAGTTATCTACTTAGGTTGACATGACAAAGACAAAGATGAATGAAACGGTTAGTAAGGAAATATTGATGCAAATTATATATAATAAGTAGCATATATCCCCAATCTATATATAGCAGATGGTATAGGGGAGATCATTCCAGGTATGTTTAAATTACATATAAATATTTAATTGATGCTTTTAGCTATACAATGCTCTTATTAAAAAGTAAATCATAATTAATTAGTAATATGAAAACAATGCCCTACTGATATATTAAACAGAGAAATTGCTACAATTGTATTTATTTTTTGGCAAGTCATTACAAGTGTTCCCGTACACATGCGGGTATACAAAATTTAACTATACTGCCTGGTGTTTTTACTTTTCATGTGATCTAAGTTCGCGATTATGACAAAACCAAATTGAATGAAAGGATATGCGTGCCATGTCTACGTGATCTAATACTACATTAAACTCGATAAGAAAGTTGTTCGGTAAAACTTTCACTTCTAGACGTTGATGCGTGGATATGTAACGTTACACGGAGTATTAAGTCGGAGGAATAGAAGCGATTTGTCAGCAGATTTCAGAATATTACATTAGATTACATAGTAAATATATGACTCTAAAAAGGTCGCAACATTATTAAACTGGCTCTTACGTCATACCCTTTTATTTGTTTTAAATCAAGTAATAAATGGAGTTTTCATTCTGTGTAGCCGCTGTTCTATATGAGTATTTTATTTACGTCCCTGTCATATCAGAGTAATCCTCCGATGTCAATTTTTACGTAAATAGGGATTTGCCTTGGTCCTTACTTTGGCTTTTTGTAGAGAATTATATTAACCATTGTATTAACTGTACGACCAAACAATCCCGCGATCGCTTGTTTACATTTTGCTGTTGAGGTTGTTGGAAGAGCGTTGCACGTGCATCGTCTCGCACATAGTGTATCGTCCAAGATATGAAAACAAAGAAAAGCGCCGTTACATCGAAGACGTTGTGGGATTGTAGATAATATGCAGATGTAAAACCATCTGGCATGAATGTTTCATGCCACTTTTCTGAAAATAAGTAAGTATATCAGTCATATGTGGATGCAGGTATTCTCATAAATATTATTGAAATTCCTTCCATATAACCATATGTACAATAGCTGGTCAAAAACAAACCAATCCAAACCTTGGGTCAGGTCGAGTTTTTGCTATACATAACATCATGTGGAAATATAAATATATTTCGGCCATATGAAACTTACCCTGTTTCTCTTGGTACGATGTATCGGACAACGAGTGTAATGATGTAGAGTCCGCATCTACTATGGAATTTAGAGAAGTTTGAGTTGAAACATTTCGCCATATTCTGTCAGGCGACTTATTCTCTGGAAATAAGACAAGTATATCAGTCATATGATGGAAGTATTCTCACGTGGTGGGAACTACAAGTCTTTCGTAATGGAGTGGCTCACCCCCTTGCAAGTCTGGCATTCAAATATTTAGATGGTGGTCAGGATTCAAAACTATACAAGGATTGATCACGGGGGAGGTGGGGAAGGGGATGGGCCAAAAACGAGTTATACAATATAACTAGGAAATTATCAAGATTCACACCCTTTTCCTATACATACAATTGTAAGTGAAATCAGACAAGTGCAATGATACTAGGATGGCCCCGGTGGTTAGCCCAAACTCGTGGAAACGTAAGTGTCTGGTTTCATCTTTGAAACTATAAAGAAACTCATCCCATAACAACATATATACAATTGCTGGAAATAAACAGGCAAACACAACCATGGTATTACAATTTACTCTTGGGTAAGGCCATAGCCTTTGGAACCTCGTTGGTCCCATTTTTCTTTTTCTTTTAGATTCCTTTCGTATCTTCTATGAAATTTAGAGAAGTTTGAGAAAACAAATCACGCAATATTGTTTCATGCGACTTCTTTTCTTGAAATAAGAAAAGAATATCGGTCATATTTAGATCGAAGTATTCTCGCGTGGTGGGAAGTCTGGCTAACCCACTTCCGTCTCTGGAACTCAAAGACTTTAAGATTTGATCACTTGAAACTATTCAGAACCTCACCAAATTACTTCATGGATATATACAATTGCTGGGAATAAACAGACAAACACAACCATAGTATTAGAACTGACTATGGAATCAGGCCATAGCCTTCGGGACCTTGTTGGTCTCATTTTGACAACAAAGTTGAGATTCCTTCCATATAACCAAATATACATTGGGTCAAGTCCCATCCTTTGGGACTTTTAAATGGTCATACATTAATAGTAGTATTTGAGGTTCCCTCCTGATATCCGATTAACCGAAGAATCATAATATATATATATATGTTTTATGTTATATCCTATACATTGGCTTAACCATTTAGAAAAAAATATAGTTTATGTAATGATACATGGACTACTGAAATGCAACCTAATCTGCCGTCTTAATGAATGTCAAGATTCATACAGTTGGTAACAACTGGTTTATTTCCGACCTGCAGTGGTTAAGAATGAATTTTGAATGAATAATTTATTATGCTTTTTACTAAATTTATCTTGCATTTGCATTATTAGGTGCTAGCAAGTTGAAAAATATGTAAATCTTTTTTATGCTAAAATATCGAAGCTAAGCGTTTTAGAAGCGCGACCTTGAATATTGGATAACAATGGTTGACAGATATTTGTTTACTTTTTGGTCTTCTGTTGATCGTCCTCCTACGGATACCTTTTTCGGTCCTCCTAACGTCCCGATATTGTCCTGAAATAAATGAAGGATACAGCATATTGAAATTATAACTTGAAGGACTTAGTAACATTTCCCCTTCTCGTTCTTTGCTACATTTCCTGCGAAACACTTCAGACATGTCTGAACTTTAGTAACCATTAAAATGGCGACATTGATATACGCTGCAACACGAATGACCACTAAATGTTTCTAACATATACAATTATTTATTTCGTATTTCTAGTTTATATGGCTTAAAGTTCAGACAACTTCTTTTTTTATGAGTCTATTGATTAGCTCGAATTAAGTACGCACATGGCCACGAATGTCTGTCCCAACTCATGAAAACTTAGTTTCTCACCCCATATCTTCATGTATAAATACAATTGTTGGGAATAAACAGGCAAAACAAATTATAGAATGGACCCTTGAGTCATGCCACACATGTATGACTTTCTTGGTCCCCGCCTGGAAGTAGTTGAGTCTCCACTCCCAATAACCATACATATAATCATTATACTAGAGTTGATGGTGGGGGTGGGGGATGGGAGGGGGTGGGGTATACTTGAACCATCTTTACTGTATGTCTGTCGTAAGCAAAAAAAAAAATGCCGGGCAACTCCTCCTAAACTTGGGCACCGATTTCAACGAAACTTTAAATGTTCCTAACTTCTCCCTGCTGTTATGCATCCAGATATTTTATTTTTTTGTTCGGACCTTTTGCAAATGAGTAACGGCCCTTTGTTGATAAATCCTTGTCCTGACAGCCAAAAAAACCATTTGGCCAATTGCAACGCAAGTGTTTAGATATGATTAAAACCTCTTGATGTTGTGCATCCAGTTATTATTGCTCATTCCGACCATTTTGATTGAGTTATATCCCTTTGTCGAAAAATCCTTAGCCGGAAAACCTCTCCTAAACTACTGAGCCGCACTGATGTATATGTGTGCTGGAAGCAAGGTTTATCAATGTATTGACATATTATGTCGAAGTCACCAAGCAGAGTGATAGCGCGGATCTGATGCCGAATTTATAGTGCTATCTCACTGAAGTACTATGCCGAAGGCACCCAGTACTTACATGTCCTTAACTATTGAAAGAACATTAACCACTTTACAATCAAGAAAAAGCGCGATTCGCTTGTTTACATTTTGCTGTTGAGGTTGTTGGAAGGGCGTTGTGCGTACATCGTCTGATGCATAATAAAATATGCAAGCAAATAGTGTGTTGTCCAACAATGACATGCTTATTAACCAATGAAAACAAAGAAAAGCGCCATTACATCGAAGACGTGGTGGGATTAAAGATAATATGCAGAATGAAACAAGAGTACCGCGGAGCGGAACAAAATACGCCCGTCGAATGCCATATAGTGGTATATACTTTCTTACATTGAAATAAGATTTGCATCATTCTAAGGGTGGTTAGCTGACATGCTATAGAAAATGTAGGAGACAAGAGGCCCATGGGCCTTAACGGTCACCTGAGTCCTACAGTATTTATTTTTGTTGTTGAAATATGTACCAATTTGAGTAAAAAATAGTTAAGGATAATGTTAACTGAACTTTATCAGGAACATGAGCTGATCATTCCTAGACCGATTTTCAGTGAGATCGGCCTATTAGAACTTGACTTTAAGTTTGAAATAGTTTTTCAAAATGGTGGCCACGGCGGCCATATTGGATTTCTGATTGACCTGAAAAATAACAACACTTTGTCAGGACCATGAGGCGATCATTCCTACCAACTTTCAGTTCAATCGGTCCAGCAGAACTTGACTTTAAGTTTGAAATAGGTTTTCAAAATGGCGGCCGTGGCGGCCATATTGGATTTCTGATCGACCCGAAAAATAACAACACTTTGTCAGGACCATGAGGCGATCATTCCTACCAACTTTCAGTTCAATCGGCCTAGCAGAACTTGACTTTAAGTTCGAAATAGTTTTTCAAAATGGCGGCCACGGCGGCCATATTGGATTTCTGATTGACCTGAAAAATAACAACACTTTGTCAGGACCATGAGTCGATCATTCCTACCAATCTTCAGTTCAATCGCCCCAGCAGAACTTGACTTTAAGTTTGAAATAGGTATTTTCAAAATGGCGGCCGTGGAGGCCATATTGGATTTCTGATCGACCCGAAAAATAACAACACTTTGTCAGGACCATGAGTCGATCATTCCTACAAAGTTTCAGTTTAATCGGCCCGGCAGAACTTAACTTTAAGTTTGAAATGTAAAATGTTAACGGACGACGGACGACGGACGACGACGGACGAAAACGGATAGCAATAGGTCACTTGAGCTAAAGCTCGAATCAAAATTGTCGAAATTGTCAAAATTGTCGAATCAAAATTCTTTTAAGGCAGACACAACTTCATATCATGATTATAATGTATACCAAGTTGCAAAAAGATCCGTTGAAAAATGTAGGAGGAGATTGCCGGACAAAAATCAAATACTAAAATGAACAAAGGGCAAAAAGTTTTGTAAAAATTGTCGAATCAAAATTCTTTTAAGGGAGACAAAACTTAATATCATGATTATAATGTATACCAAGTGTCAAAGAGATCGGTCGAAACATGTAGGAGGAGATTGCCGGACAAACAAAACTTTACGCCGGACGGACAACCCCATACCATAATACTACCGTCAAATTTGACGGTCGTATAAAAATAGATTACACGGATCAAGGATTGTAAAAAGAACCAAAGTGAACCAACTTCACATTACAAGAACAATGACATTATAGATTTTGCGACTTATTGGTTGAAAACTGTGCTGGTTAGAAGGAATTATTTCGTTAAAGTTTTGGACGAGTTATTGCTGAACATTACATCATGTGGAAATAAAGAATATATCTCGGCCATATGAAACTTACCCTGTTTGTCTTGGTACGTTGTATCGGACAACGAGTGTAATGATGCAGAGTCCGCATCTACTTTGGAATTAAAAGAACTTTGAGACGAGACATCTCGCCTTGTATTTTCAGGCGACTCCTTTTCTGGAAATAAGAAATGAGTATCAGTCATATTTGGATGGAAGTAATCTCGCGTGGTGGGAACTAAAAGTCTATTGTAATAGAGTGGCTAACCCACTTCCATCTCTGGAATTCAAAGATTTTAAAGATTTCACATTTGATTGCACCATTCACTGGTGGTAAGGGTTCAAAACTGTACAAGGATTAACCACGCGGGAGTTGGGGAAGGGAATGGTGGCTACGGAGTGGGTTAAAAAAGCCCATATATACAATTTAAGTTAAATCAGACGATTGCAAATGATACAAGGATAGTCCTGGAGGTTAGCCAAAACTCGTGCAAACGTAATTGTCTAGTTTTATCTTTGAAACTATTAAGAACCTCACCAAATTACTTCATGGATATATACAATTGCTGGGAATAAACAGACTAACGCAACCTTAGTATTATAATTGACACTGGAGTCTGGACATAGCCGTCGGGACCTTGCTGGTCCCATTTAAAAAAAAAAGAAGTTGAGATTCCTTCCATATAACCAAATATACATTTACAATAGCTGGGCAAGATCAAAACCAAACCAAACCTTGGGTCAGGTCCCACCCTTTGGGACTTTTAAAGGGTCATACCTCGATAGTATGTAAAACGTTTTTATGCTAAAATATGGAAGCAAAGCAGGTCTAAAATTTTGGAGAGAAAAACGGCGTTTTAGAAGCGCGTCTTCGATTATTGGATAAAAATAGTTTACGGATATTTGTTTACTTATTGTACTAATTTACCTTTTGTATCGCTGCTGTTAAATGTTGGCGTCCTTTCAATGGTAAGTAAACCGATCAATTTCCCTGAAACTAATGAATGATACACCATATTAAAAATTATATCCTGAAGGGCTTAGTAACATTTTCCGTTTTCTTTCTTTCCTACATATCCTGCGAAACACTTCAAACATGTTTGATCTATAGTAACCATTAAAATGGCGACATTGATATATGGTGCAACACGAATGTCCACTAATTGTTTCTTACATATACAGTTCCTTATTTTGTATTTACAGTTTTTATGGCTGGAAGTTCAGACAACTTCTTGTTTTATGAGCCTATTGATACTTTTGAATTTACCGTTTCAAACAATAACTCAATCTGCGTACACACACATGTCCAAGTGTGTCTGTCAAAACTCATGAAAACTTGGTGTCTCGGTCACGTCTCTGGAATTATTAAGAACCTCATCCAATATCTTCATGTATAAATACAATTGCTGGGAATAAGCAAAGAAAACAAATCATGGTACTGAATTGACCCTTGAATCAGGCCACACCTGTGGGGACTTTCTTGGTCCCAACTTGACAGTAATTGAGCCTCCTTCTCGATAACCATACATACAATCATGATACTGGAGTTGATCCTGCGGTCAGGTCACAACATAGGAGGCTTCGTTTCTCTTTGTCATAACTGTGATTCAGTTGTGTCCCCCAATCCCATAACTAGTTATACATACAATTGCCGGGAATAATCTACACTATGGAAATGATAATAATAATAAGCATATCCCTCGAATTACATGAGTTCCTTGATCCATTTGAAGAGCGAAAACCTGAAACATAAAACAAATGATTTTTAGAAATAACGAAGAATATTTTTATTGGTAAAACTATTTAATGTAATGATGGATGAGCAACTGAAATGCAACTTTAAACTGCCATCATAATGAATGTCATAATGTCGATCTGTAGAATGAAGCTCCTCCGTCACATTACACTGATAATATGTAATCCCCCGCAAAGAATGTTGGAGGGTTTGGAGTTGAGTTATAATTGTATCACCCTCTGTGCGTATGTCGTAAGCAAAATCCTGTCCGGGCAACTCTTTCTAAACATGAACATAATCAGTTTTAAACGCAACTTAACAGTTTCCCAGCTTCCCCCTGCTGTTGTGCATCAAGATATTATTTTTTTCGTTCTAACTTGTTTTAATGGAGTTACGGCCCTTTGTTAAAAAATCCTTGTCCGGACAACTCCAAAACTACTAGGCCAATTTCAACAAGTGTTAAGATATTTTTAATACCCCCTGATGGTGTGTATCCAGGTATTAGATATCATTCCGACCCTATTTTGGAGTAATAGCCTTTTGTCGAAAAATTCTTGTCCGAACAACTTTTTCTAAACAACTGAGACCCTTTGTTGAAAAACCATTGTCCGGACTACTTTTCCTTAAGTACTAGGCTGATTTCAGCGAAACTTTACAGTTTAGTTTAGTTGAGTATTGTGTAATCATGGTACTAGAATTGACCTATAAATCATGTTACTGAATTGACCCTTAGATCAGGCCACACCTGTGGGGACTTTCTTGGTCCTAACTTGAAAGTAGTTGAGCTCCTTCCCGATAACCATACATACAATCATGATACTGGAGTTGATCCTGCGGTCAGGTCACAACATAGGAGGCTTCGTTTCTCTTTCACATAACTGTGGTTCAGTTGTGTCCCAAAATCCCACAACTAGTTATACATACAATTTCTGGGAATAAACTATACTATGGAAATGATAATAATGATAAACATACCACTCGAGTTAAATGAGGCCCTTGATCCAGCATTTGAAGACTGCCCTGCAGGTAGGGCGTAAGAATTGTACCTGCTGCCCCCAATTGCATGATCGTAAGAGGCGACTAAATTTGGGACCTTATCTCTTCTCTCCTTTCTAAATAACTTTCTTTTTCCTAATGTCTCCCTTGACAATGCCTCACTTTTGGCCATTTGTTGAGCGTTCGCCCCTGTGAGGAAGGCTTTGGGTTCTGTCCCCTGGCCGAGACATACCAAAGTCTTTAAAAATGGTAGTTTCTACTCCTGCTTAACGCTCAGCAAATTAGGAGTGGGACGACTGGTTCGCCCGTTGTCAGTATAATGTGACCGGGTGGGGCGTCCTGCTGGGTGTCTTCGGCAGTATGTTTCAGTGAGGTAGCACTATAAAGTCGGCATCAGTTCCGCGCTATCACAAGGAGACAAACACGAACATATCGCAGCCTCCCAAAATACACACACATACACTACACGCATGCATCTTGCACACAGGGGAGGCCGTCCTTAAATGACCTTAGCTGTTAATAGGACGTTAAACAAAATCAAACAAACAAACAAACAAAAGCATTTGAAGAACGAATACCTGAAACATAAAACAAAAGAATTTAAGAAATAACGAACAATATTTTTATGGGTAAAACTATTTAATGTAATGATGGATGAGTAACTGAAATGCAACTTTAAATTGCCATCATATTGAATATCACAATGTCGATCTGTAGAATGACACTTCACCGTCACATTACACTGATAATATGTAATCCCCCACAAAGAATGTTGGAGGGTTTGTGGCTGAGTTATACTTGTATCACCCTTTCTGTTTGTATGTCGTAATCAAAATCATATCCGGTCAATTCTTTCTAAACATGAACATAATCAGATTTCAACGCAACTTTACAGTTTCCTAACTTCCCCCTGCTGTTGTGCATCAAGATATTATTTTTTTCGTTCTAACTTTTTTTAATGGAGTTACGGCCCTTTGTTAAAAATTCCTTGTCCGGATAGCTCCAAAACTACTAGGTCAATTCTAAGAAGTGTTAGATATGATTAATGTCCCCTGATGATTTGTATCCAGGTATTAGTTTTCATTCCGACACTTTTTGGATGAATAGTTTTTGTCGAAAAATTCTTGTCCGAACAACTTCTCCTAAACAAATGATCCCCGTTGTTGAAAAATCATTGTCCGGACTACTTTTCCTGAACTACTAGGCTGATTTCAGCGAAACTTTACAGTTAAGTTTAGTTTAGTATTGTTTAACTTCCTATCAATAGCTATGGTCATTTCAGGACGGCATCCTCTTTGTGCAAGATGCATGCGTGTAGTGTATGCGTGATTGTTTTTAGATGCTGCGATATGATCGTGTTTGACTTCTTGTGATAGCGCAGAACTGATGCCGACTTTATAGTGCTACCTCACTGAACCATAATGCCGTAGAAACCCAGTAGGACACCCCACCCGGTCACATCATACTGACAACGGGCGAACCAGTCGTCCATCTTCTTAATTGCGGAGCGTTAAGCACGAGTAGAACCTACCGTTTTTACAGACTCTTGTATTTCTCGGCCAAAGGACAGAACCCAAATCCTTCCTCACAGGGCGAACGCTCAAATAAAGGCCAAAAGTGGGTCGTTGTCAAGGGAGACATTACGTTGTTTAGAAAGAAGAGAAAAGATAAGATCCCAAATTTAGTCGCCTCTTACGATCATGCAATGGGAGCAGCAGGTACAATTCTTACGCCCTACCTGCAGGGTCCATGGTTTAACTTCCTATCAACAGCTATGGTCATTTAAGGACGGCCTCCTCTGTGTGCAAGATGCATGCGTATAGTATATGCATGTGTATTTTGGGAGGCTGCGATATGTTCGTGTTTGTCTCCTTGTGATAGCGCGGAACTGATGCCGACTTTATAGTGCTACCTCACTGAAACATACTGCCGAAGACAACCAGCAGGACGTCCCACTCGGTCACATTATACTGACAACGGGCGCACCAGTCGTCCCACTCCTCATTTGCTGAGCGTTAAGCAGGAGTATAAACTTCCATTTTTAAAGACTTTGGTATGTCTCGGCCAGGGGACACAACCCAAAGCCTTCCTATCAGGGGCGAACGCTCAACATATGGCCAAAAGTGAGGCATTGTCAAGGGAGACATTAGGAAGAAGAAAGTGGTTAAGAAAGGAGAGAAGAGGTAAGGTCCCAAATTTAGTCGCCTCTTACGATCATGCAATTGGGGGCAGCAGGTACAATTCTTACGCCCTACCTGCAGGGTCCATAGTTTAACTTCCTATCAACAGCTATGGTCATTTAAGGACGGCCTCCTCTGTGTGCAAGATGCATGCGTGTAGTGTATGCGTGATTGTTTTTGGAGGCTGCGATATGTTCGTGTTTGACTTCTTGTGATAGCGCAGAACTGATGCCGACTTTATAGTGCTACCTCACTGAAACATGCTGCCGAAGTTACCCAACAGGACACCACACCCGGTCAAATCATACTGACAACGGGCGAACCAGTCGTCTCTCTTCTTAATTGCGGAGCGTTAAGCAGGAGTAGAGACTACCATTTTTACAGACTCTGGTATGTCTCGGCCAAGGGACAGAACCCAAAACCTTCAACACAGGGGCGAACGCTCAACTAAAGGCCAAAAGTGGGGCATTGTCAAGGGAGACATTACCATGTTTAGAAAGAAGAGAAAAGATAAGACCCCAAATTTAGTCGCCTTTTACGATCATGCAATGGGGACAGCAAGTACAATTCGTACGCCTTACCTGCAGGGACCGCGAAACTTTACAGATATGATCATCATGAAGTTGTGTACTTCCTATCTATTATTTCATTCGTTTCATCTCTAATTTTGAACACTTTTTTGGGGGGAAATGATGATAGCTAGTTTTTCTTCTAAATTTCCGATTTCGGGATTTGGCGGGATATCAAAGTTTGCCCTTTTCCACACAACGCCTCCTACAATTATGGACCAAATTGTTGAAGGTTCTTATATTAGATATTATGGGCAGCAGTTCTTTCTTAATTGAACGCTTGTCTTGAAACCCTTGTCAAGTGGGAAATGTGCTGTGTGTTTTTAAACTGCTCAATAAATAAAGAAATCAATACTTGTGGGGGACTATGGATTGTGTTGTGCGGAAGCTCAACATCAAGAGATTCCTATCTTGGGAAAACTCTCAATCCAAAGGTTAAATCGAGGTATTGCCGAAAAGTCATTTGCAAACGGAAAAACTCGTTGCAAAGGGTGTAGCAGTTTGTTGTGTTCGCAAGTAGAATATTAAAGGAGTTCCCAATTTTTGGGGTTTCCCAATTCTCCAACTCCTACGACTCATGAAGTTGGTAACAACATGTGAATTCCCGACCTTCAGTGGTGAGGAGTGAATGTTAAATAAATAATATAATTTATTGTGCACATTGATAAATTCATCTTGCATTTACATTACTAGGAGCCATTAATTGACATATGTACGAAACTGTTTGATGCTATAATGTCGCAGTCAAGCAGGTCGGAAATTTGGAAAGAAGAAAACACCTGCTGATTCGTAGAGATTGACTCGTGCTGGAATCCCCTGCAGATTTGTACATTTTCTTTCGCTTCTATACTTTGTTTACCTGCCGTTTAACATTAATTGGGTGGCGGCAATAACTGTTGACGCACTTGCATTATAATGAGAACGAGGCTAGAACTTAGCTACTGTGTGGCCCCATTATCTGTGGAACCGTTTTCAAATTGATCTATTGCAATGATTTCAAACCTAAACTAATCAATCCACTTGATGAATTGAACAACATATCTGTAGTATCTGGTTCTACTACTAGCAGAGACACATTGGGAATAAATGCTCGGTTACATTTGCGCTCTTATAGATATTTGTGCTGTGTATGATGATCGTGACCATTCTATTTCAAGCATGTTTTTTGTCGGTAAGACTCGCGGATAAGCTCTGTCCATAAGGAGGAGAATGTCTTAGTGCTGAACCATCTAGACCTGGGCATATATTACCGAGCTGTAAGCTTAAGCACTATCTGCAGAGCACTTGACAGGTAATCTTAAATGTGAGGTTAGATCAGAGGCATTTGAGAATCGCGACCTCGATTATCAGATAAAAATTATTTACATATATTTGTTTACATATTGCACTTATTTACTTATTTTATCGTTGACGGTAAAACTCTGTGTCCTCTCTATGGTATATTCACCGACCTTGCCATAGTCTGTATGTATTTCTGAAACAAAAGAATCGTACTATTTTAACATGTTACAGCATATTGATATTATGACATAGTTATCATTTCCCTTTTTTTTCTTTAAACTTAGTCTACGAAACACTTTAGACATGAAAAAATAGATCAATTGTCGCAAATACCAATATTGCGGTCTCCTGGCCTTCTTCAAGGGCGAAAGTCAACAAAATGTTCGGAGAAAGAGGAAATGACGTGCAAATGCATGACGTCATAACAACTCGTTGAATCTTAAGACATGGATATTCACTTGTTTGATCTTTAGTACCACACAAATGGCGACATTGATATATGGTGCAGCACAAATGTCCACTTTTTTACTAACATATATAGTTTCTTATTTCGTATTTCTACTTATTATGGCTGGTAATTCAGGCAACTACCTGTTTATTGGTTCTATTGCTTTCACAAACTCGATATAAGCGTTTGAAACAATAACCCTATCATCGTATACACTTATTCAATACAGCTTTGATTGTGTGAAATAATATCTTTGCTGCATTAAAATATTTTGGGATGCGTTCAACTCGAAACTGTTGCATTGCGGGTTTTTTTTCTTCCTATTAAGACTGGTTGAATGCATTTCGTATTTGGTTTTTATAGGGTTAAGGTTATTGTAAAGCATGCTAAGAGTAGAAGTATATATATCCCATACGATTCTCGTATAATCGCTTCAAAGGTAGATCATTCGCTACTGCAGTATATTACTCTACCTGAGGTGTGGGTTCTTCGATAAATTTCCATTCCATCGTCTGAAACCCCATACTCTAGAAAAAAAGTAAATGAAAGTCAGCAGATTTCTATTCTTCAGACGTCCATCTTATAAGCTTTTTTATGTAATAGTTTGACTCGTGTGTGTTTCGTTTCCGAACATGTTACTCCATGTCTTGCATGAAATGAACACGGACGACTTTACCATTATAAACAGTGTCGAAACAGATGTTTGACACTTTGAAGTTGTCATAGGTTGATTTAATTTGATTTTGTCCTTTTTGCAAAGGATGATGCCGTCTCTATTTCTTTTTTCCTGATTAACATTGTTTAAACAATACCACTGTATGAACATTGGTTAACCGAGGTAGTATGGGTCGAAATATCCAAAAATAAAAGTAAACTTTTTGTGGCTTCCATTTACCTTCCGCCCGACTGTCCACTTGATTATATGAATGAATTCGAGCGATCCATCGAATTAATGATGACAGTACTGGTGAGAAAAGTGACATTTTAATAGTAGGAGACCTTAATTTCCCCGATATCCAATGGTTACAAGACCCTACGGAACCCCATTTGGTGCCCCAATGTGTAAACGATAACGCCAGGTATACAGCGATACTGAACGCCGCTAGTGAACATGATTTACACCAATATGTATCGAGTCCGACCAGGCGTGACAAAACACTCGACTGGGTCCTGGGCTCTCTGGACACGATAGCAGTCTCGGTGTGTGACCCAATTTTGGAATCCACCCATCTAGCTATCTCGGGGAACCTCACCATATCCGATGCGGCGCGTTAAAGTAACATGGACCGTACAGCTTTTAACTAATAACGTGCAGACTTTATATCCATGATATGTATTTTCTCAAACACTGACTGGTCTTTTATTTTAAATTCTGAAACAGTTAATGATGCGTTTTACCAACTACATGATGTACTCTCTACAACTATGGTTAAAGAGAAAGAACGTGCGTAAGTCTATGTCAAGGCCGGTAAACGACGTGATTCTCATGAGTTTGCTATTTTTTCTTCTCTGCGACAGGAGTTAAAATCACTACAAACATCTAATTACGATGACTATATCATCAATGTGGAACATTCTGTGAAAGACAATCCCAAACGTTTTGGGGGATTTGTGAAAGGAAAGCGGAAGGAGGGGACTGTCCCGGACTCTGTTTCAGACTGTTCATCGTCGTCTTCCAACAATGTTGAATCTGCAGATATGTTTAACGCTTTCTTCAAAAGTGTGTTCTGTATGGACGACGATTGTGATCTTCCTCAAATATACGTAAAAAATGAATTTGACTGCCCGCTAAGCACAATTATTTTGAATTGTACTGATGTTCAGAAGACACTTACACAAATAGATGAAACAAAGACAAGCTACGACAACATATCTGGCGTAGTTTGTAAAGAGTGTGCTGATGAGTAATGTATACTACTGTACCACAATGAACCGTTCATTGAAAGATGGTGTCGCGAATATAGGCCTTACCGTCACGTCACATGTACCATGTGTGTATTTCTCCGTACGTGTGTTATTATTGTTGATGTAAGCTAGACGCTTTATTGTCGGCAGTACTGTATAAGCGTTTCAGTGACTAGTTCTTGTGATCACCAATAGAGGTCGTTGTTTCCCTCCCTGGGTAAAAATAAAGGTCGGCAGACGACGAGAGCGTCTTTATTTCGAAGCTGGTCATTCGTCTGGTAAGGACTCCCCCATAGTTTAACGATTTGGTGGGTATTGGCACTGAAAGACAGAAGTGGCTGAATAAGCTTTGCCTTGATCAGTGTCATATACTAAAGAGTTGCGGCTAGAATATAAGATAGCTATTGTTTTCCGAGCTTGATAGCTAGGCTAAGAGGCCTAGTGTGTCACGACTATAGGTCGCGAGTTGCTCGGGGGATCGTTCCACGACTAGGTCGTGAGTGCTCATGACATAGGTCTTGAGTAGGGCTGGTTCTAGGCAATAGCTGTGTACATATAGTGTACTTTATAGTGTTAAGTGGTCACGACACTTCACAACCAGCAGTGTCCGGGCTATAGTTAGCTGCAATACTGACAGCTCAGTGTTTTGAGGGTGGTCATGACACGGTAGTCGGTGACTACGTTTGTAACTGTGACAGTGATACATATCGACAGCAGGTAGCTGTATTGTGTATCTATAATTCGTAGGTAGTCTTCAGTCGGTTAATAACATCGGTCTCGTTGGTATGTTGTGTGCGTGTGTAAGATAACTCTGCACTGTTGCTTTATAGCTGTTAAGTTGTCGTTGTTGACATGAGTACATGTAGTTGTAATATTAGTTCGGAGAGGTACTCTGTCCTATTGTATATCTTTGAAGATGTATTGTTATATAGTGTTACTAGTTACACTATAACGCTACAATGGTATCCTTCCAAGTATTTTTAAAAGGGCTAATGTTATTCCCATTTTTAAATCTGGTAAACGTAATGAAGTCTCTAATTACAGTCCAGTATTCTTTACTACCAGTTATATCTAAAGTTTTCGAAAAACTGGTTGACGTACACATTTTATAAATCCGCTTATCTGCGATGAGCAACAGGGTTTTATGCCAAAAAAGTAGAATTACATGCCGTATATACTGATTTTTCAAAAGCATTTGACAAAGTAAACCACAGATTATTATTGCATAAGTAGAAATTGTATGGTGTAGAAGGTAGCATTTTAGATTGGATTACTACTTATTTGAAAGACAGATTCCAGCGTGTTACTGTTAATGGGGCAACATCCGGTTGGTGTGATGTAACTTCCGGTGTGCCTCAAGGTTCGATACTTGGACCTAAACTTGTCCTTGTTTTTATCAATGAACTGCCATTTATAGTGAAATTTTCTAAAACTCTTGTGTTTGCCGACGACAGCAATTTTGTTAAGTGTGTAAGAACGTTGTCTGAGTGTGAGCAGCTACAGAGCGATATAGATAGAGTGTATGATTGGTGCACTGTGTGGAAAATGAAAGTGAATGTGAAGAAGTGCTGCCAGGTCATTTTTGCAAACAAGAAGAAATGTATGAATTTTAATTTCACTATGAACGGTGAGAACCTGAAGAATGAAATGTGTGTTAAAGATCTTGGTGTTTGGCTGACCTCTTCAATGAGTTTTAGTACCCACATTAGACGTACTGTTTAAAAATCAATGCGAAAGCTCGGTTTTATGAAACGTACATGTAAAAGTTTTACACAAATACCTGTTTTAAGGTCTTTATATATAAGTCTTGTCAGGAGTCAGTTAGAATACTGTTGTCAGATCTGGTCTCCTTACCAAACATCTTTAATTCACCAGGTCGAAGTTGTCCAGCGTACATTTTTGAAATTTTTATGTTTTAAGGCACACGTTGTCTTACGCTGAAACTTGTAGGCATTTTAATCTTCCTAGCCTTGAACATAGGCGGGCATGTTTAGACTGTGTATTAATAGTGCTTTTGCTTGTCCATATTTAGTCTCTTGATTTTGCACCAGACTGCGTTAGGTTTCGTTCATCTCTGTAAACCTGGATTTTTCAGTAGTTTGTAAAGTTGCAAACGATATAATTATTTTCGCATTACGTATAAAAAGTGCATCAAATGGCAAAATTGCTGACTGCAAATTTTGGTTTTCTAGGTTTCCTTCTCACTGGTTTGGTGTAGTTTATTTTGTTGAACTATTATTAGCAATATATATAGGTAATATTTCTGCATGCAATTAGGTCTATGCACAGATAATATAATTTAAGCACGTGCCTCCATGTGTGTTCTGTAAGCGTATATGTGTGTATGTGTGCCGAAGACAGGATATGTGTAATTGTCTCCTTGTGATAGCACGGATTGGATGCCGAACCCCTTCCTTAACGCAGCATTTAGGAGGCACGGTAGTCTAGTGGTAGGACGCCGGGCTCGTTACCGAAGGGTTGCGGGTTCGAATCGCGGCACAGCACTATGTTGTATCTTTGAGCAAGATACTTTACTCCGCTGTAAACGAGTACGTGGTTGTGCAGTGCTAGAATTGTTTAATGCTAGCTGTGAGCACCGAAATGGCAGCACCGGCTGTATGCTCCCCAGGGTGTTGAGACAGATATTTGCTAGTTGCAAAGGCCCTATAACCACGGATACTAATTTGTGAACCGTTTTGAGACAACCTACGATACTCGTGTGCAATAGTACCTAATTCGAGACGGAGCCCCCGATGATGAATTGGATCAAGCATCTGACTTCTAAATGACGACTAGAACATGGGAGCGATGTTGACGCTGTATTGCTCCAATTAGAGTAATAGGAAACCAAAGAAAACAACTGAAGCTTTAGATATTATGTTAAACACCGGAGTAATAATTCCGCTCAAAGTCGCACATGTATCAATTTAAAAACATCGTTTAGTTTCATCGTCCATCAGTAGCCCGGGTTTCTTGCGCAGTTTTGTTGTTGTACATATATGCTGCCACATTATTTAATGCTTTGCATTCCCACAACAGTTAACTTCATTTGAAAATACTACCTTGTCATAGTTAAGCATTGGAGATATCTACCCTTGGTTACGCTCCTTTTCTTTCCGCCTTGCTTGATCCGTTTAAAAAATCCCCGAATTTTTTTCATTAATCCTGCAACATACGAACATATTTTAAGTTTTGTAAATACTAAAGGTATTATTTTTTGTTCGAAACAGATAATATTGCAGAAAATATAGGTTCAGCTTCGATGATACCTGGTTGAATCTCTGGTTTACATAGAGTACTGACCCACAACGTATTAGATAAATAACATCGTCACTCGTACAACCCTCAACCTACAACCAAAAGATATTAAACTGCCTTTTTCTGATTTTAAACCTTCTATAACAAAATGCATTCAAACTAATTGGCAAAATAAATGGTCTGAAGAATTAAACAGCAAGTTATTTGCAATTCAACCTAATGTGGCGCAGACCGCAGAGGCGAAATTGTCCTCTCGCGACTGTGCATAGGCCATATCTACATCACACATGGCTATATTTTGCGTAAGAAAGACCGGCCTTATTGTCATGCATACGATCAACCATACAGTCAATGATTGAATGCGCTGACTTCAAACAAATACGTGACAGATTTTATGAAAGGATTATTTGATACAGTTACAGATACAGTTTCTGTGCAATTAATATATGACTTTTTACACGCTATTAATCAGCCACTTTGTTCGATATTGATGTATTTCTTTAATCCTTTACATAGTTTAAGCTATTAACTTTTGGTGTGATGTGTTTATTTTCTTGAATGTCTCTTTTTACAGTTTGGTTTAATTTTGTTAAACGTCATATTAACAGCTAAGGTCATTTGAGGACGTGCCTCCATTTGTGTAGTGCATGCGTGCTTGCGTGTGTGTATGCAGGAGAAAGGTATGTTGGTGTTCTTGCCTCCCTGTGATAGCGCGGATCTGATGCCCACTTTATAGTGCTTTTTCATTGAAATGCCATGCCGAAGGCACCAAGCACAGCGATCCACCCGGTCACATTATTATTTTTTGTATCATTTGTATTAGCTCACCTGGTCCGAAGGACCAAGGTGAGCTTATGCCATACCGTTGCGTCCGTCCGTCCGTCCGTCAACAATTTCTTTAAACGACTTCTTCTTCTTAACCACTGATTGGAACTCAACTAAATTTGACTGGAAGCATCCCTAGGTGGTGGGGATTCAAAATTGTACAAATGGTTGTGCTGACCCCCCAGGGGGCTGAGAGGCGGGGCCAAAAAGAGTCAATTTGGCTATCGCTTTAAGCGACTTCTTCTCTGGAACTAAGATGTTGATATCAACCATATTTGACTGGAATTATTCTTAGGTGTCAGGGATTCAAAATTGTACAAATGATGGAGCTGACCCCCCAGGAGGCTGAGAGGCGGGGCAAAAAGGGGTCAATTTTGCAATATTCCTTTAAGCGACTTCTGCTCTGGAACTAAGAAGTGGATATCAACCATATTTGACTGGAAACATCCCTAGGTGGTAGGGATTCACAATTGTACAAGTGGTGGGGCTGAGGGCGGGGACAAAAAGGGGGCAATTTGGCTATTTGCTATAAACGACTTCTGTAGAAATATGCCATGGATATTGATCATATTTGGTCGGAAGCATTCATGGGAGGCAGGGATTCAAAATTGTACAAATGGTGGGACTGACCCCCCGGGCTAAGGGGTGGGGCCAAAAAAAATGTACATTTGCTTCCAGGATGGCTATAGGGTCTGGCCCCACCCTTGGAGACATAGTCCCTGGGCCATAACTTTAAAACTGTTGAGATCCCCACCCCAAAACTATATATACAAATGCTGGGCATAAAAAGACGAATGCAGTCATGATATTCGAAAAGACCCTAGGGTCTGACCGAACCCCTAGGGACCTAGTTTGTTAGGCACAGCTTGGAAACATTTGAGATCCCCACCCTATAACGGTATATACAATTGCTGAGTATAAAGAAATGATTGCACATATGCTTCCAGGATGGCCTTGGGGACTGCCCCACCCTTGGAGACTTAACCCCTGGGTCATAACTTTGAAATGGTTTTGATCCCCACCCCAAAACTATATATACAATTGTTGGGCATGAAAAGACTAATGCAGTCATGACATTAGAATTGGTCCCAGGGTCTGCCCCACCCTTGCAGACTTAAACCCTTGTTCATAACTTTGAAACGGTTGAGATCCCCACCCCAAAACTATATATACAAATGCTGGGCAAAAAGAGACAAATGCAGTCACGATATTAGAATTGATCCTGGGGTCTGGCCACAACCCTAGGGACCTAGTTTCTGAGTCAAAGCTTGGAAACAGTTGCGATCCCCACCCTATAACCATACATAAAATTGCTGGGCATGAAAAATATAATACAGATATGCTACAAGGATTGGCCTTGGGGTCTGGCATATTCCCTTGATCTCATTCGGAGAATATTTTGCCATGATTGCTTTGGTATCCAGGTGAGCGATACAGGCCCTCTGGGCCTCTGGTTTTTCAGAGGTTTTTCTGGTACAATGTGCATAAATAGATACAATTTTTTTTCATACTCCCTTACACTCATTCGCACGCTTACTGCATTCACATATACTCACTCATCATTTCATAATGTTTTGTTATCATCATCATCACTCCAAAATATTTATCATGACATTGACATCATCCCCATCGTTATCATCCTGACATCAGTAAAATCATCATCATACTGATTTCAATGTCATGACACTCCAAACAGACATCATCATCCTCATGACATTAAACACTGAAATCATCATTATCATCATTATCCTTTTCAACATCATCATAATCATCCTACTGATATATATCCATCATGACAAAAAATCATCAACCAATTGACATAACCTTTTCATTATTATTATTATCATCATCACGACTAAAATCATCCTCATTCTCTCAATGAAATCGATCATAATCACACTTGTCATCATCATCAAACTAATATCATCATCATTACTGAAATCAACATCATTCTCACAATAATATTGTAAGCACACTGTTGTCGTCATCACACTGATATAATTATCATCATCATCATCATCATAATCATGACTGAAATCAACAACATTCTCACAATAATATCAAAATCGCACGGTTGTCATCATCAAACTAATATCATTATCATCATCATCATAATATCATGACTGAAATCAACAAATTATTCTCATACTATTATCATCATCATCAAACTGGTATCATTATCATCATCATATGACATTTAAATCATCCTCATCATTAACCAGACATTCTCATCATGACATTGACATAATCTTCTTCATAGTTATCCTCATTATACTCTCACTAATTCCATCAACAAGACACTAAAATCATCATCATCATCGTCATAATCACACTGATTTCATCATTATCATACTCATGCAATCATAGAATCTTCAATGTATAATAATAAAATAATTAGAGAGAGAGTGAGAGACGGTCTTTTTGGAAGATATGTCTATGTTTTTCATCTTTCCCATTCACAATATATTTCTGTATCTCATAAGTCTCTTTTATACAGGTTATAGATTAATTGTAGATAGCAGACCTTTGTTTCAATTTGTCTTGTCAAGATTTTTTTTTCTAACTCCTTGTAAGGTATAAAACATTTTGTGCTATAAACATTTTGTACTATTATCCTTAAGTAGGTCATTCACAATAATTTCTCCTTTACTGAACTGCTTTCTATAAAAAATACTCTTCTTATTTATTTTAAACAATTTAGTATAACAGATAGGCATTTTGGAAAAGGAGTTCTCTCCCTTGCATTGATAATCTCTTACTATTACTAACTAAAAAAAAGACTTTTACGCATCATTTCACATTTAACAATGTATTCCGTCCAACAGTTTGCTAAAATATTTATATTGTTTTAAGCTTTTAAAATCTCCTGCCATTTACCTGATGTTGTAAATATTCTCCTTATCCATGTTAATTTTAAGGATTCTATGAAAGACACCACATGTATCATTTTAAATCCACCATCAATACAGTCTCCAATAACAATGTCTCTTTTGGTTTTGTCAACTTTGCTTTTCCATAAGAAGTTAATTGTTCGGTGTTTAATTTTTTAATAAAACATTAATTTGGGTTTGGTAATGCAATAAATAAGTGATTGAGTTGAGAGAGGAGTAGTGATTTGATGATATATATTCTACTAATTGGCGTTATTATTCTCCTATTCCATGTATTTATAAATGCCGTTATTTTTACTAACTTTTTATCATAATTTAGCCTAGTAATTGTATGCAAGTCTACATGAAATTCTATGTCAAAAATATTAAAAGCTTTATTGTGGTCTTTTGTTATATTAACAGCTAAGGTCATTTAAGGACGTGCCTCCATCTGTGTAGTGTATGCGTGCTTGCGTGTGTGTATGCAGGTATGTTGGTGTGCTTGCCTCCCTGTGATAGCGCGGATCTGATGCCGACTTTATAGTGCTATTTCATCGAAATTCAATGCCGAAGGCACCAAGCACAGCGATCCAACCGGTCACATTATACTGACAATGGATGAACCAGTTGTTGCTATTCCCCTTAATGCTGAACATTAAACAGGGAATAACAACTACCATTTTTAAGGACTTTAGTATATCCTGGCCTGGGGGCAAAAAAAACTTTGCCTTCCTTACCTGGCCTACAATCAAACCAACAGTGAGGTGTTGCCAAGCAAGGCGCTAGTAAATGAAAGGTAGTTAGAAGTAGAAAGAAAGATAGAGATCCCAAATATTGCAATGGGCACAGCAGATTTATTTTGGTCGCTTTTGTGTCCACAAATAAAGGACACTAAAGCAAATCCCATATTCTGCAGGGGATTCGTACATTAGTCGCCTCCTACATGCAGTAGGTAGGTATTGTAAATGACTCGCATTGTCGAAGGGCCGTTAACCAATACAAGAAATACAAAAAAAGTCTATACAGGCCCTTATCGGCCAGTTTAATTTGATCGTTTTCACTTATTTTGCACATCACGTTACGTTGTAAGATCCTCAAATGTACTATTAACATAAGTTTTAATGATTTAATACCCACCTTTTGACTGTCGTTGTTCATCCGAACCTTGCGAGGATACAGAACCTGTTTAATGTACAATATATATTTATGTGTGTATACTGTCTGAAATATTTGCGCACACTGAGAAACTGAGAATGCTTATAATAGTTGTTATACTGAAATTCATTTATTTGACAACAGTTATAACATCAGGTATATGAATTAATTTTCATGCACTCTGAGGTAAATCATATATGAAATCACATTCATGAAGATAAAAGTCTTTTTTTAAGATTGTTATCTCTTTTTCCCCCAAGAAGCATAAGACATGTCTTTCTCTTAGGTTCCCCCTTTTCCACATTTAATACTAAGCTAGTAAATAGGTAAAATGACAGCATCACCCTGAAAGAACAATGTTGGCAAATTGTATTTGCAGGGGTTCCTTTGTGTTTCTGAATCCTGTACTATATCTGTACAGTATACGTCGGCCCGAGAAAATGAATAAATAAATGTATACAGAGAAATGGAGTTTGTCAACTGTTTTTCCTGCGACAAATGGCGACCACGACTAGACCTGGGAACCAAATTTGGAAAATGAAAACGACGTCACCATCACAGTTATAAAGGAACCACGAGCGGATCCAGCGAACAACTGCTACACAGCCAGCTATGACCTGAAATGTGCAGTTATTTATGAGGGGATGGAGGGAATGGTATGTTAGGCTAACTACACTTATCTCACCACCGCGGGAAGTCGTCTGTTAATGTGAGATAATATTTATTTAATACCGGTGTGAATTGTATGGTATCACACAAAAATGCGACGACCCCAGTTACAGTGAGTGCGCCAAGAAATATAGAGGAAGCGTCGACTCGACCAACAACAACAACAACAACCGCGGAGCTCAAAACGCGCCCGGATGAATCAAACGCGAGAGTGACCAGGACGATGGAACTTGAAGTGAACAGTTTTGTGGGACGATTTTTAAAGCAATGACACTTTAAATTCACGTTTTCATTGGTTAATTGGTTGAAATATTTGCATTTTATTCAGAATTTGATTAATATTGTATAGCCTATTTGTCATTGTTTGACCAAATGACCTGACGACCGGCACTTACTGACTAAACTGGGGTTACGTTGACGTGTTTGCGGGGGGGTTGAAAATATTCTGTGTTGAAATCTGTGTGAATGTAACGAGCACGAGATTCTGAGATTGAAAATTTATGTTTATATGTGTTTAATCCTATATGTTGTGTATTTATATGTTATTCGTTTTATGTTTCTACATTAGTTATGATGTCTATATATTAGCATTTAAAGGGGGAGTTACATAAAATCCTCTGACGGTGTTTGTAATTTTCACAATTTTCTAGTGAATCACCGACACCAGTAACCAGTAACTGGTACCAGTTAATAGTAACCAGTAACTGCAAGATTTCCTCCCACATTTTTAGGGGCAGATATTTATTACAGTATATAGGTAGACCAGAGCCGTATCCAGATTTCTGGGTATCAGAGTAGTTTTCAAGATGGCTACAGGAGGCACCGCCCCGGGAGATACTAAGGCTACAGGAGGTGAAGCTCAGGTAAGAGATATAGAGGCTGTTAAGAAAATATTGGAAAGTGAAGATTATAAAGTGTTGACAAAAGAGGAATATGAACAACTCCTGATGCTAAAGGTAGGGAAAAGCGCCACATGCACTCCAAAGCCTAAAATAGGGGGTAGAGGTAGGGCCAAGTTGGGTGGAGTTGGTCAATTCGAGGACCTACCGTCTCCAGGGAATCTCAGATTAAAACGTTCAGACTCCACGGATGGGGAATTTACGTTTTTGTCCAATGCTAGTGGAACCCAAGGGAATTTACCCCGTCCGCCCAAAATATCGCCTTTCAGTGGAGATGACCAGAAAGGTGATGTCGGGTTTAATGTTTGGAAATTTGAGGTAAGGTGTATCCTGAGGGATGAGCATTATCCCTTTGCCACAATAAGACAGGCGGTACGGCAATCCTTACGAGGGACCGCAAGACAGATGCTGATACCATTAGGAGAGCTGGCGGGGTGCGAAACCATCATTAAAAAACTAGATGGCTTGTTTGGGAATGCAGCCACACATGAGGCTACATTACAGAAGTTCTACTCCGAGATGCAGCAAGACGGTGAGACAGTAGTGTCATTTGCTTGTCGTCTGGAATCGCTACTTCAATCCGCCATTGATAATGGCCATATAGAAGGTTCAGCACGAGAGGGCATGCTTAGGTCGAAATTTTGGACTTCACTGAGTAGTGAGAGGCTAAAAAACACAGACCAGACACAGGTATGACGCAAAACTTGGAACATTTGATGCTTTGGTCAGGGAGGTAAGAGCTGTCGATTTAGAAATAAAAAAATGCTAACAAGGTAAAAGGGACTATTTCGAAGAAGGGTACCCAACACCAGCCTATGCAGGTGGATGGTGACCTAAATTCAAAGATAGATAAACTAGTTGAGCAGGTTACTGGTTTAACTAGTAAACTTAAGTCATTAGAGACTAAAGTTGATAACCATTTTTCCAGAAACAGCCAAGGCCAGCATCAGAACAGAGGGTCAGGAAACTACAGGAAGAATGAAGAGTACAAATTGCAACAGAAGAAAAATGATGCAGGTAAGGGTTCCAATAGAACACAACCAAAAGAGTAACCTCCCTCATTAATGGGGAAATAGGGGGAGATGATGGTAAGAACCCAAACATTGTCAGAAAACGATTGGTCGGAGAAGCTAATGAGGCCATTATAGAGGTCTGCGGTAGTCCAGTCAAGTGTTTAGTGGATACAGGATCGATGGTTACCACATGTAGCGAGTCATTTTTTCGATCATTATCAGGAGAATTAGAACTCAGAACGTTGGGGGATTTCGGCGTGGATGTATATTGTGCTGATGGTAGTAAACTGCCATATTCTGGATATTTTGAGGCGGAAATTTTGTGTCTGAACAGGAAGGGGACAGTGTCTGTTCCAATGTTGGTAGTACCCGAAACAAATTACAACAGAAATGTACCTGTGATAGTTGGCACTAATGAACTCAGATTATTAGCACTCGGAGAGGCTGAGGGGATAGGCCAGGTTTTGGAAGACGGCCTTCAGCAGTCTAGAGATTGGTAATTCTCTATCGGTAAGAACCACCAATAGGATTACTAAAATCGGTGCCGGGGAGACGTTGACTATACATGGAATGGTAAGACAGTCTAAAAAACTTGACACGGTTGTGGTCGAGACTAGTGTAGATTCTCCTAAGGGAGTGGTAGTATGTCCCATAGTGGTGAAGTTGGCCGCAGGCTCAACAGCTAGAGTGGTTGTTAGGGTGTGTAACTTGTTAGCTTGTCCTATACAAATACCGCGAGGACCGGAACTTGGTACTTTGAATGAGGTCAAGGTTGTTGACCACTGGAAACCTGAGGAACACGGTAAGGATATAGCGAGTGATCAAAACAACACCCCAGGTAAGCCTAGTAGTGAAATCTTAGACTTGGAGTCACTAGGTGTTCAGATTGATTCTGATAACTTAACCAGTACCCAGAGATTAAGGGTACAAAAGGTATTGGGGAGTTGGAGCTCATTATTTTCCAACAAGTCAGATGGACATAGGTTGTACAGGGTTAGTGAAACACGGTATAAGGTTGCACGATGACAGATTCTTTAGACTTCCTTATAGGAAGATACCCCCGGCCATGTATGAGGAGGTAAGGCAGCATCTCAAGGAGATGAAGGAATCTGGTGTAATGGAGGATTCAATGTATCCATATGCTTCAAACGTAGTGTTGGTAAGAAAGAAAAATGGTCAGTTAAGATTTTGTATAGATTATAGGACTTTAAATTCAAGGACTATTAAGGACAAGTACACGTTGCCAAGAGTTGATGACACCCTTAATACTCTTGTAGGGTCCAATTTTTTCTCAAAATTGGACTTAAGGTCTGGATACTACCAGGTAGAGATGTGTGATGAGGACAAGGATAAGACAGCTTTCTCTGTTGGTCCTTTAGGATTTTATCAGTTCAGGAGATTACCTTTTGGTCTCTGTAATGCTCCATCGACGTTTCAGAGGTTGATGGAGCGATGTATGGGTGATATGTGTCTCCGCGAATGTTTGATATTCTTAGATGATGTCCTGATAATTTCGGAAAATTTTGAGGAGCACATAGAAAGGATTGAGGCAGTTTTTGAGAAACTTTTAAGTCAAACGGTCTTAAATTGAACCCAACCAAGTGCGAGTTCTTTAAAACCAAGGTTAAGTACCTGGGACATGTGGTAAGTGAGCAGGGAATAGCTGCCGATGAGGAGAAAGTAGAGACATTAAAGTCTTGGAAACCATGCGAATCGGTTAAAGAGGTGAGGACTTTCTTGTGTTTTACAGGATACTATCGCAAGTTTGTAAAGGGATATGCAGCAATAGCCGACCTTTAAATGATTTACTCATTGGTCATCCCACTGTGAAAACCAAGTCAAAGAAACCTTAAACTCCATTTGTTTGGTCGGAGGAGTGTAAAAAGGCATTTGAGCTACTCAAGGAGAAGCTGATGAGTCCGCCAATTCTGGCGTATGCCGATTACTCAAAGCCGTTTAAACTAGAACACTGACAGGTCAGTAAGGGCCCCGTCTTGTGCCAATTAATATATCCCTTATAATCATCAAGAAGCAATCTGCCCATATAGCTGAGCTTGACGTTTGACATTTGGACTTCAAAAAGAATCGCAAGGAAGCAAAATATACATTTTACATGTACTATGATGCGAGTCTTGTTTCCTTCCACCTCCATATTTGCTGGGCTAACAGAAATGTAAATACCGGTGCAATACTCATGTGTTAGCTTTGATTTGGTTTATTTCACCTTATATACCTCCTCCATCAAGAGCCAGGGTCAAAGTCAGAGATCCACTTTGTCTTTGACCTTTGGACCCAAATGACCTTGACCATTAACCCAGTGACCCTGATCTTTGGTCAGTTGACTTATTCTTTGATTCTGACCAACTTTGCTTCTTAATATCATAACAAAATGTTCATCCGTGAAAAATACAAAACTTGACCTTGACCCTTTGGACCTCGTAACCTGGTTCTAAGGTCAGTTGACTCTGTGTTAAGTTCTTAACAACATTGCTTAGTAATGTCATAACAAAATGTTCATCAGGGAAAAGGTACACAATTTAACCTTCACCTTTGACCCAGTGACCTTGACCTTTGATCAATTGACTCCTTGTTTAATCCTGAGCAACATTGCTTCAAAGTGTCATAGCGAAATGTTCACCAGTGAAAAGGTGCAAAATTTAACCTTGACATTTGACCCAATGACCTTGACCTTTGGTCAGTTGACTCCTTGTTTAATTCTGATCAATTTTGCTACATCATGTCATAACAAAATGTTCATCAGTGAAAAGTTGCAAAATTTGACCTTGACCTTTGAATCTAATGACCTTGACCTTCGACTTATTACCTCAGTGTGTCTCTTTGTTTAATTCCTAACAACTTTGCTTCATAATGTCATAGCAAAATGTTCACAAGTGAAAAGCTAGAAAAGTTGCCCTTGACCCCTGATCCGATGACCTTGACCTTTGGTCAGTTGACTCCTTCTTTAATTCTGATCAACTTTGCTTCATAATGTCAGAACAAAATGGTCATCAGTGAAAAGATGTAAAATTTGACCTTGACCTTTGAAGCTTATAACCTTGACCTTTGGTCTTGACTTTTTACCTCAATGTGTATTTTTGTGAACTGAACATCTTGACCACGTTTCATGTACATCGGTCAATAAATATTAAAGTTATCAGCAAGGAACAAAATTTGTGGACAGACAGAGTGATTACTATAGGGCACCCGTATCTCCGATACGGGGCCCTAATTAAACACAGATGCGTCATTAGAAGGACTGGGAGCTGTGTTATACTAAAACCAAGAGGGTAAGGACAGGGTGATCGCATATGCCAGCCGTGGTTTGAAACCTAGTGAGAAACTGTATCCGGCTCACAAACTGGAATTTTTGTGTTTAAAATGGGCAGTCACCGATAAGTTTAAAGATTATTTGTATGGTCTGCCAGAGTTTGAGGTGTACACTGATAATAATCCTCTTACATATGTCACAACATCAGCCAGGTTGGACGCAACAGGGCATCGTTGGGTCGCTGAATTGGCAAACTACACATTTAAGCTTATCTATCGCTCTGGCAAGAGCAATGGTGATGCAGATGGGTTGTCACGTAAACCCGGACAAGGTGAGCAATGTGTATTTCCTGAAGTTGTGCGAGCTGTGTGTACAGCAGCNTTATTGGTGTGGGATGGAGGAAGATGTGAGTGAACAGGTGAGGAGTTGTGATAGGTGTATCAGAAGAAAAACTGCAGTGACAAATAGGGCAGAGATGGTTGGAATTGTGTCGTCAGAGCCGATGGAGTTGGTTTGTCTTGATTTTCTATCACTGGAGAGTAGCAAGGGAGGCTACGAGCACATTTTAGTGATCACGGATCATTATACCCGTTACGCCCAAGCTATACCTACCAGAAATCAATTAGCCACTACGGTAGCCAGAGTTCTATTTGACAATTTTATTGTCCACTATGGTTTTCCTGCCAGGCTTCACAGCGATCAGGGTAGAAATTTTGAATCAAAGATCATTCAGGAACTATGAAAGGTAGCTGGAACAAGGAAGTCTCGTACTACACCTTTTCACCCTCAGGGGAACGGCATGACCGAGCGATTTAATCAAACAATGTTAAAGATGCTGGGTACATTAGAGGACGAGGAGAAATAGAATTGGAAAGCACACGTACCAGCAATGGTTCATGCATACAACGCAGCAACTCATGTGAGTACAGGGTTTTCCCCATTTTATTTGTTATTTGGGCGACAACCTAGGCTGGCTGGAGATGCCTATTTTGGGTTACATGACCAGGAGTTTCCTCAGTTTCAACCAAAGACGGAATATGTAAGTAAGCTTAAGTCTAGGTTACGGTTTGCTTACCGGGCTGCTGAGAGATATGCCAAGAAATCTGCAAAATCCTATAAACATTATTATGACCTTCGGGTAAGGGATTCAGTTCTCAAGGCAGGAGACCGGGTGTTAGTAAGAAATGTTAACCTAAGGGGTAAGTGCACACTTGCTGATAAGTGGGAGAAATTGCCCTACAAGGTTTTGTCCAAACCTCATAAGGACACACCAGTACACAGAGTTCGGAAAGAACAAGGTCCAGGTAGAGTTAGAACCTTACACAGAAACATGCTGTTACCTTACGCGGGACGGAATGAGGCGGAGCGTCAGGATGGAACTTCGAGTTCTCGAGTGGCTCCAGAGGGACGGCGTAAAGCAGTCACCACTGGGGCGGAACCACGGAAAGATAGCATGTCGTCGGGTTCAGGTTCAAGCTCGGAGGAGGAATACCTGTATAAACCAAGACGGACCCATAGAGGTTTGAGATCTATGTTGGAGAATAATATTCCAGACAATTTCGTTGAGGATGGTAGTGTTGAGAACAGTGAGAACATTGAGGACATTGAGAACAGTGTTAGTCGGGTTTCCCAAGAGGAAACCGGACCTGTTATGGGAATGCCGGAGATACCAAGGATAAATGAATCCTCTCATAGGGAAATAGAGAGGGAACCGAGTCACAGGCGCTCGGGTAGGGTGAGAAATCCTCCAGAGAGATATGGTAATTGGCAAATGGGTCAAGTAGTAGAGGGGGATTGGATTTTATATTAAAATAAATGTAGGGACGGAGTGAGATTTGTAAATAGATGTCTAATATAATTTTCTGAAAAGCTACAAACTGCCATGCCAGTTGTGGTTCTTGTGTTTTTTCAGATGTAGGAATTGTGTTAGAGTTGGTCCTTATCATCTTTTCAGATGGAGGAATAATTTTAAATAGATTTTAAGATGTGTTATGTTTGTCAGACGGATAATAAATTTCTGATTTGATATTTATAGTATCTTTCCCTGGAATCGTGTTCAGGGTATATCGTCATGATAAATGATGTGTTCTAAAGTAAACAAATAATTTTGCCCAGAATAATATTTGGCTGATATATATTCTTTTGTTTACAGGTACTAATATTTGGCTTATAGTTGTTGTCTTTACAGGGTTACAACTAATATGATGCAATAATATTGTATTAAGGGGCTGACAGCTGAATACAACGATTGAAATATTGTTTATCAATTTGAGACGTCGAGACGACATCTTTAAACAGGGGTAGTATGTCGTAGGGTCACATTTAATGTGTGGTACTAGTTACATGAAGGGTCTTTGTTTACAATGTATTGTGCGGGGTTTCCCCGGCGTCTATGTATAACCTGTAAAATGTGACGTAATTGTGTTTACCTGTATTGTACCCGTTTGTCCAGTTTGACCAGTTTGACCAAGGGTGGGTCGATGGGCGTGTCGGTGAGTGAAACTAATGCGCGAATGTGTGGGGGGTCGTATAAAAGGAGTTACTTTAGCGGTGGGCGTTGCATTCTAGCCAGAGCGTTTGACACGATCACCTTCGGGGATCAGCGCTACTTGACATGACGGGCCAATATTTCCTACTGCGTGGCAACATGACGATATCAGGTAAATAATACTTGTAACAGTAGTTGTTCTTATAATTTAATATTTTATCGGTCCAAACGCGTCGAATTCATTATTATAAAGAATAACTAATGGTATCTTGTATGAATTGGTCTATTTGTAATGTTGGCAAATTGTATTTGCAGGGGTTCCTTTGTGTTTCTGAATCCTGTACTATATCTGTACAGTATACGTCGGCCCGGGGAAATGAATAAATAAATGTATACCGAGAAATGGAGTTTGTCAACTGTTTTTCCTGCGACCTGCGACCCTAAATGACTCGCATTGTCGAAGGGCCGTTAACCAATACAACAAGAAATACAAAAAATTATATACAGGCTCTTATCGGCCAGTTTAATTTGATCGTTTTCACTTATTTTGCACATCACGTTACGTTGTAAGATCCCTCAAATGTACTATTAACATAAGTTTTAATGATTTAATACCCACCTTTTGACTGTCGTTGTTCATCCGAACCTCGCGAGGATACAGAACCTGTTTAATGTACAATATATATTTATGTGTGTATACTGTCTGAAATATTTGCTCACACTGAGAAACTGAGAATGCTTATAATAGTTTTTATACTGAAATTTATTTATTTGACAACAGTTATAACATCAGGTATATGAATTAATTTTCATGCACTCTGAGGTAAATCATATATGAAATCACATTCATGAAAATAAAAGTCTTTTTTTTTAAGATTGTTATCTCTTTTTCCCCCCAAGAAGCATAAGACAGGTCTTTCTCTTAGGTTCCCCTTTTTCCACATTTAATACTAAGCTAGTAAATAGGTCAAATGACAGCATCACCCTGAAAGAACAATGTCTTACACAGCAGTGTGGAATTTTGATCAAAGGTTACAATAAGTTGCATTTACTGTTAAACATGACTCAAATACATATTTTACTTAAAACCTATGGAGATGGTACAATGGTGGGCGTCAGGAACCCTTTTTTGGAACTCTTGTTTGTGTATCATAACTAAACAGGAACATGCTTATTGAGTAATTCATAGAAGTGTTGCATCCTGCTGTAGAAAAAGGTGAAGTCACTGTAGGAGCCACATTTGTGTAGGTCGGGGACAAAAACTCTTTAAAATCGTAGTTGCTATTTCCTGCTTAACGTTCAGCCTGAGCTAATCGCTAAAAATCGTTTGTCAGTTTGTCAACATATTTTCAGTATAATGTGTCCGGCTGGAATATGTTGCTTGGTGCCGTCGGCATGGTGAGGTATCACTCGATATTGACATCAGAGATGCGCTATCACAAGAAGGCAAATACCCTTATATATTTGTCTAGAGTATATCAACGCATATGTTGCACGCCCTTTGATGAACAAAGTTATTTAAAGCACTCAACAAAATGAAATTACTATCCATGGTAATTTTAACTCTTCAATGGGTTGCAAAACAAAACGGAACGACAAAATGCTACTACCATTTTGTATCATGGTACAGAAATACGATTATCGATGAGCAAAAGTCTCTACAGGTTCGGACTTTTATCACACTACATTTCGTAGAAGCAAACTCATTTTAGTCCTCAAATAGTGTCAGGGGTTTCCCCCCTGATATACTACCAAGACGACGCCTAAGAAACCAAAATTATTCAGGCTGGCCTTATTGCAACCAATTAATATACTTTCCTTTCTGACTTTCCTTCTGACTTCCCTATATTTTCCTGTCGGTGGTGTCTCCGTAGTCGCCAGTCTTCATGTAATCGAAGACGTCCAACCCCAATCAAGCATCGTATAACACATTTTTTTCCCCAACTGGAACACCTTACTTGGCAATGCCTCGCATTTGGCCTTGGTCTTTATTTGCCACATCATCAGCGGACTCGTTTGCAAACCAATCAAATATCATTGTAATAATAATGTTGAATATTACTGAAATGGTTAATGTATCGATAATATGAAAATATGTATGCCTATTGGAAAGGAAAACCATTTGATTTCGTGATTCTTACCATGGACAGGTATAACATCATGCTCCTCATATATAGAATCGGAACTGATGTTGATTTGCGAATTGGGTCGTTCTGGAATGTCACTAAACCCGAAACTCCATGATTGCCATCGTGTTGGTCTATACATCTTTTTTGTACGTTTACATTTCAGCAGCAATCTACAAAATCATTTTTCATAGAATAAGACATATCAATAAAAGCAGTGTCATGCCCCGTCTAAAAATAATCGCCGTTGGTGGACAGTTTCTTCACCATCAATGCTATTATTTACATTCAATTGATTTATACTAAAAGATATGGTATCATGTTCTACAACAATTTCGTTTGCTTTTGATGTTGTTGGGTGTTTTTTTTTATCTTTTATACTTTTAAAACCTTAGTTAACGTTTAGTGTATTCCTTGGTGTGAACGTCTATCTTTTTGTGTTGATAGTCCCTAAATGAATAAATTAAGAAGATAAAATTTCAAATCCGCGCTGTCGCATGTAGTATTTACTTGAACCACATATAGCGAAAAAAATAACCCACCACACACTTAAAAACCTAATTGTCATCCCTGCTAAACGTTCAGCATTTATATGGTTAACACAACTTGTTGACCCGTTGTCAGTATAACGTGACTCGTTTGGATATCGTGCGTGTTGCCTACAGCAGGGTATTCATTGCGGTAGTGCTATTGTAAGGAGACAAAATAAATCGGTTGTGTATCCCCATTGCATCCGTATACACCAACATACCCTGCCTTCAGCACACATGCGTTATGCAAACGGAGGCACGTCCTAAAACTAATCGTTGCATCCATCTTCATACCATATTGATGTTACGAACATTGTGCGTCATAATTTTGTTTATGTGTCTCACAACTCGGTATGCATAACTAAGGTTTGGTTTTATCGAGCTTGACATTCTATCAACAATTAAGGTCATTCAAGGACTAGCCTCCATGTGTGTTCTGAATGTGTGCCGGAGGCAGGTCATGTTGGTGTTATTGCCTCCTTGTGATAGCGCGGATCTGAAGCCGACTGTATAGTGCTATATCACTGAAATACCATAACGCAGGCTTGGTTTAGTTCGGATTTTTAACGTCCTATCAAAAGCTGAGGTCATTTTAAGACGTGCCTCAGTGTGTTTTGTGTATGCGTGGTTCAGCCGATACCAGTATAGTATGACCAGGTGGAATGCTGTACTGGGTACTTTCGGTATGGTATTGAGGTGAGACAGCATATACGCGCTATCATAAGGAGGTACTTACCTCACTATTACCCTGCCTCCTGCGCACAAACGAGTTAGCATACACACCACACATGATGTTGATAGAACGTTTGATAAAGCAAATCAAACTATTGCCTAGTCTCATGCGGGAAATCCTCAAGTGAAATCTTGTACATTAACTTCAAACTCGAAGTGTCCTATCTGCCATTAAGGCAAATGTCACTGTATAAGAACTCAATAATTATATGCATAATGCTAAAACCTTGCAAATCTTACATAATTAATGATGTCAATGAAAAATACTTCCAAAGGGGAACAAACATATAAAAGTGAGAAAGATCCCTCCGATTCCTTTCTCAGAGAGAGAGAAATAGAGCTAAAACTGGAAATATGTCAAAATGACATGAAAGCCACTCCATCTCCTACATTTGTTAAAATCATTTTCAGTACAATAAATCATTGACCAAACTACAACTGTCATATTTCCACCTATCAATCAAAATGATCTAACAATGACAGGTGTATATACATACACGCTGTTTAGGTAACCATGCAAACACATGGAATTAATAAGAAAGCATGTGGCAAATATCTGTTGTCACCTGGTATGGGCAAAAAAGATAATTGGAATAAAACGATGTTGTTTTCACAACAATAACTTTCAGAAAAGAATCTTTTATACGGATAAATCTTTCACTCTTTTTTTTTATAAAATATACGTTTCAAAGTAGTTTTCTTATCGTCTGCAAATCTGACTGAATCGGACATCGATAGGCCTACACGTGTATCGGCAGATTGTGTACGCTTTGTTAAAGGCAGTCACTCAAACAGGTCCGACGAGGACCGCCAACAGCCAAATGTTTTTTTTGCTGTTTTGAGCCCGTTAATATTTGTTTTTCAAACTCTAACTTTTATTAGTATCGATTCAATTCGCATGTATGTGACTTTGTGAGTTCCTGCCGGTAAATAGTATCACGCGACCTTGGTTAAGTTTCACCTAGCATACATTTCTAAAATACCTAGTCTCACCTAGCATACATTTCAATTTTCACACCTGATTACAATTTGGTTATAGTCTGTTTCAAAATGATGTAGATTGTAGTGTAATACATATAATTATTAAGAACTTATGTCTACTTTAATCAGAGAAACATTCCATTTATATTCTTTGTAAAGAACTATAGTTACACGTGGTAGTAGATGAAATATGAATTTTAAAAAAACCTAAAAACGATACCTTTATTTTACATGAAAATAATAATGATTTTACAGTTATTATAACAGGTACGTATACAGTACTAGCCGCCTGCACGTTATTAAAATCTTAAATTATTGTTGATCAAGTAAAGCCTCATTAGCTAATCTTAATATCAAAGATTGTTTAAAATTCTGTAATGCATTGTCTATACATTTCAACTGATACAATAACAGTTGACTGAATGTTGTTGTTTTTCCGTTTATTTTTATGGTTATTTCTGCAGTATTTCAATCTCAAGCTGATTGTGTGTGGACATACACTGTAGATAGGATTTTTTTTTTTATAATTTTCACTTTTCATAATATTACAAATGTCAATATTGTCAAATTTACTAGAAATTAACAGAAAGCGAAATTCATCTTTCACATATGTGGAGGTACATTACTTACAATATTCCAAGAATTTGTTTTCCATGATGGTAGTTTTGGTCAGCGGTGGGTAACTATTTGTCAGTAAAGCTATCAGAAAGCATTTAAACCTAAATCCGAAAAGATTTCTCCTTTTAAGGCCCCGTCCCGCTGTCAATGGTGGTTAAACCCGCCTCATTTATATAAGAAATTATTGTTTCTAAATGATGTTTCATACTGAAATTGTTTTAATCTACTTTTGGCATTAACGAGTAGTGTTTAAAAGCAGGATTTTAGGTAATTTCCTTTCTTGGAGCGCCCCCCTCTCTATCCCTCAGGGGTCGAACCAGCCTCATTTATACACGAAACGATTGTCCTCCTTCCCCCTAATGATATTTCAGACCATATTTGGTTGCAATATCCATTTAGGCATTCAGGAGGAATAGCATTTTAAAGCAAATTTATAGCTAAGTTCCACTTTCGAGGCCCCGAAACATCCCCACCAATTTTTAGCTCAATGGCACCAGTTATGTTACAGTGCTAGTGTTTTACTTATTTTAAGGTGTGTTAATGGCTTTGTGTGTCTCATAAGCCAGATTTGGCTGTATGACGATATCTGATTGATTTAAATTTTGAAAAAGTTTTGTAAAATCTGTTTTTTAATGTATATCGATATGTGACACTTACACTTACTTATAAATTGTATTGTATTGTAATAATATGTTAAGTTAAGACATTTAATCTGAAATTCCCTATTATAATGATGAAGACTATATTAGATGAAGTGGATTTTTTTATATATATAATTAAGATTTAACACACAAAATCAATCCTATGAATACGTTCATATTCATATGGTAACAACTTTAGTTTACCTGTAATTAAATCCTATTGTTCCCGAACTGACACCCAATCTCACCTAGCATACGCCCAACACCTTACCTGTATATATGAAAATACCAAATGTATGCTACGTGAGACGAAACCGCGACATTGACTCTTTGCAATACACAAACTTGCAAACTTCGCCAGTTTCTCCACGTCGTTTTGACACATTCCCACTGTCAAGATTAAATCGTTCAGCATGGTTTTACCCAAGAACGGCATTCTAACCCCAGAGTGCTTATTACGACGCAATTCTTCGTTATATTTTCCCATACATGGTATCGTACCTGAAAGTTGGGCCTACTTTACTCGTGTTTATTTATCCGATTCTATCGTATACTATGAATTAAACTTGCAATTTTTCGTTATTGTTAAATAGGAATCGGGAGCTTTTGAACGAAATTTAAAAGTTAATTGCTGCGAGCATATTTCAAAACATTTCCGAAAATCCCCGAAAAATTCACGATAAGTCAAATGGTCGCGACCAATGACTAGGTTTGGAATGTTTAAGAGTATCCGCGCACCCCTTTATTGACACTTTCATTTTTCCTTATAAAGTGGACACTATATGTGAAATATCTTTAGAAACTATAAACTGTTGAACTTGAAAGTTTGCAAGAAGGTTAAATGCTGTGAATTCCAACCCACGTTTGATACCTATGTTTAGCGGGTCATTTTTAAGACAGTTATTTTGCCGTTTAATTTTGAATTGCAGGGTTTGTGACAATACATATTGTATTGTACATTCTCATACTTCAATTTTGCTGTTACAAAATATATTGCAAGATATTGCCAAAAATATCATCCATTCAAAAAAATCATGTAAAGGACTATTTCTAAATTATACAGACACCGCTTCAGTAAACACTAAAGTGTATCTTGTTCTGGTCATTATTAAATCGTACAACCGTATCTTCTTCGGAATAAGTTTATTTTAACAGCTTAGGTCATTAAGGGACGTGCCTCCATGTGTGTTATGTATGCATGCATGTGTGTAGGTGTGTCGGAGATAGGGTATGTTGGTGTACTTGCCTCCTTGTGATAGCGTGGATAGTTCTGCTGTTACCAACTACATGTATCGTTAGAGTCGACTAATATGGGAACCCCTGCATAATTGGGGATCTGCTTTTGTGCCATCTACTTGGAGACGCGAAAGTGACAAAAATATTATGCTGCATTCATTGCAATATTTGGAATCGTTATATTTCTTTCTACATCTCAACCAACATTTATTTTTCTATGGCATTTTAACTCTAGTTCTAAGAAATAGTGTTAACAAACAACCCTTAATTGTAAAATTCCAAAATGGCCGCCTGTCGTTCAGTCACAAAACTATGCACAACTAGAGACCAAGGGAAACCTACTAATCAAAATTGAAAAAAAATGTTCCCTTCAGTACTTAATATTTCAATTCCTACTCAAGTTGGACTGAATGCAACTACCAAATGCAACCTGTTTCATTTGCCGATGAATTTGACCAGATTAACATTGCCTGTGCGTGTGATCTTGCGAAGGGAGAAAGTTTGGTTTGGTTTGGTTTAGTATTGTTTAACGTCCTATCAACAGCTTTGGTCTCCCCTGTGTGCAAGATGCATGCGTGTGTTTTGGGAGGCTGCGATATGTTTGTGTTTGTCTCCTTGTGATAGCGCGGAACTGATGCCGACTTTCTAGTGCTACTTTACTGAAACACACTGCCGACGACACCCAGCAGAACACCCCACCCGGTCACAGTATATGACAACGGGCGAACCAGTCGTCCAACTCCTAAAATTGCACAGGACGGACGAATGGACCATGGACAAAGGGCAATTTTAATAGTCCAGCATAGGATAATGATGGCCTAATGAAAGTGTCTTTCTAATACATGTCATGGTAGATATAACGCTTCAAATACTACAACTATTAATATGTGCGCAGTACAGGTCCCTATATGACCTCGGCTGTTATTAGGACGTTAGACAAAATAACACCAAATCAAACCAGCACTAAAGGTTATAACATGTGTAAACAACAATAGCTGTTAATAATCCAATAAAACCAAACCAATTTAGTACTAGCATGTTACTCACCTAAATGTCCTTGGCTTTTAGCTTCCTGAACTTCCACGTTATTGTACAGGTAACACACCTGTATTTATCATAAACACTTTTCCATAAAGTACAAGTCTGTTTGCTAGGAGTTGTTGTCTTTGGTACACCTATAGTATTATAAAGACAGATGTCAGGGGAGACACCTGCATCACTTTTGTTTTAACACCGAAATCTCTGTAAAATACGAGAGATCGTCACAACTCAAAAGAGACAAATACTTAAAACCAGTAACTTCCTGGTTCAAGTTTATACTGACATAAAAGCTACATTTGCCACAGTAGAACTGATATGTACACCATTTCGTATTAAATAAGCTTACGTCACGGGTAAATTCACTCGACACAAACATGGTTATCTACACTGTATAACACAAACGCAATGTTGGACCGCCAGGATTGTGTGGTACATTTCTGTTTTTCATTTGTATTATAACTAAATGTGGCTCGGGACACGCTTCAAACATAAAGCGGGCATCAAAAGAGAACAGAAAAATGTATAGATGGAATACAGTAAGTCGCCTCTTACGGTTAAGTTGACAAAACATTCGATCAAACGAATCGAAAATTCCTTTGTCAGATGTTGTATTCTATTTTTGTATTTTCCTTATCAGTTTTAACTTAAAACCCTACAAAGATAAATCACAGTAAATTACATATTGCGCTTACGTGCAAGTCCTAACATATGCATATGTATTTAAATTCGTTAACACACAAGTTATTCAAATGGGGAAAATAGAATAATACTTTTCTTTTACTATGATTGAATTGTCGTTATACACTACACACCGCGTGGAGCAATACGATCCCCACGTTTCGCGATGGCATTCTAAAGCGTGGAGGGGAGGTATAAAAAATTAAACTCCACTCCACCGTGGAGAATATCCAGTCTCGCTCCACTTAGCGACTGGCATATAACAACACAACGCAAATACCTATTTTGCCGCTGGCTCGCCGAAAGGACGTGGAAAAACCGGAGATATCCCCCGGAAACCTGTATCGAAAAGCGGGACAAATATTATTTCCCTGCAAGTCCGATTTCTCTGAGGTGACAGTTGGACCGCTGTCACTTTTTATAGCAGACCTACTGAACCACCCTAAGAAAAAACCCACACCCTATACATCCTTAAGTTTAGAATGAACCGCCCGTCCCGAGTAGGCGATCTACCCCCGTGTACCCGCGTACACGCGACAGACTTCTGCTGATCGTGCCGCACGAGACAAATTATTATCGCTTCTACTGCGAACCGCGGGAAGATTTGAGTCTCGCTCCACTTAGCGACTGGCATATAACAACAAAACGCAAATATCTATTTTGCCGCTAGCTCGCCGAAAGGACGTAGAAAAAAATACAAAGAAGGGCAAAAACCACGCAAAATAAAACGAAAAACTCCCAATAATACAATATTTACAAAATTCGAAAGAAAAAACAAAACAAAATTAAACATCAAACAAAAAAAACCGGCGTTCTGTAAGCCTGAACATTACAAGCCTAATTTCTTTGTCACCGCTAACCTCTTATCTATGGAATCCTTGACGTAGCTACCATCCTTGCTAAAATCGCCCTTCCATCGACCGTGCCTCTTAAAACACCTATCATTGACCCCACTATTCGCTGCTGCGGTGGCACCGCCCGACCTAAGGGAATGCAAGCCCACGTTACAATCCGTAACCAACTTTAACCTTTTTAGCACCGCTTCACGTGCGCACGTATAACTCATAGGCTTTGATTTGTGTATGAAACCGAACACCTCGCCGGATCTGTACACTTGTTTGAATAAAAAATCGTCGGACTGTAAATCTATACCGGCCAACTCTAAATACCTAACTAACATCGCGTATGGACAAGCTGACGTCTGCCCCTTGCTCACGTTGTGAGTGTTCATAATTAGCCGCAATAAAACAAAGCAATCTGTTAAGAATTTTTTATCGGTTTTCCTTAAGGATTAAAACGAAATAAAAATGCAGGTAACACATCTTGAACGATAACATCAAACGGCCATTGGTCAGTGTTCATGGAACGTTTATAAATAGTTGACAAAATACATTTTGTATATTGCTTTATTGTCAAGTAAAACGCTTGGCTGGATTGACGTTTGTTACGGCACGATTTCTCACCCAGACAAGGTTTCTCATCCGGGTGAGAAATCGTGCAAAACATATGGGCATAGGTGACACGTTTTCTCACCCCACCTCTCTATCTCAATTGGGGATGGATTTTGTCCGTTGTGTCTTAAAACTTGCCTAAGTGAACATGTAATAGATGAGCTGACATGATTTCAAATGAGTAGTAGTTCAATGCACAACATGCCTAATATTTATTGATTGATTTTTCTATCAATCTATTATATAACAAGTACTGCTTTTTACCGAAAGTCGATCTAAACCCCGAAAACATTTTATGACTACTTGTTTCTATGCTATGACTATTGGACTACATTTTCAAGGTTTGGTCCATATAGATAAATGCACTTCTGGTATTTATAGCATATACAAGTGTTTTTGGTATATAAAGTTGTTTGAAACGTTAAGATGTAAGACTACAGTTACCTTAAAAGTAAGTCAAGTGTTCCGCAAACGTTCAAGGTATCTGCTGGTCAAATATTAAGACTTGGCACAGGTGGTACATAACAATAGTTGATAAGACTCCTGACGTACCATACCACAGCATAGCATTACGAACACTTCTAGACAGGTGAGTAAAAATATGTGATATACAATAAAACAAAGTAACTTGAAACTTAATAAAAAGACCACAACAGGATCCGAGAAGAGACATATAAACAAATCAGTGTTCAAAATAAAGGTGTTGAGGAAAGTTAAATGCATTTTACATTATATAATGTTATACCTGTCGTAATGTCTGTCACCTTGTTGAAGGTCAGCAGCTTTCTAAACTCAAGTGAATATGATTTAAATTATTTATGCACTGGAATGCTTTAGCTGCAAATCAGATGCAAAGAAAATCCGATACTCTTTGTTATGATAAAGTGAACCTTATCTTTTATAATCGTATCATATGTATTTGTTTTACAAAGATTCAGTGAGGCGACAAGCCGGTAGACATTTAATGTGAAAATGATGTATTAATGACTGCCACTAATTTTCTGGAAACGAAGCCGCCAATTGCTTACCACACGAAAGTTTATAAATCTAAAATTTATTCATTTACTTTTGAAATACGCAACAAAAGTCACAAGTGCAGAGCGGTGCTTGTCATGCTGAATTTGTCAGCTGCATTTGACGTCATCAACCATGGCATACTTTATAAACGTCTGGTGTACTCTTATAGAGTGACTGATACCGCACTATGCTGGATACAGTCTTATCTGAGTGAACGACGAGTGTGTTGCCATCGGATCTACCACCTCACACGACAATTTGCGCGAGATATACCGTATATGAAATAATATGCAAGTCATATTTAACAAAGGACGCCTTTCTTTAGCCAAAGGAACAAAGGACACGAATTTGTACACAATATGAACTTACCAAAGCAGATGTGAAATCATTGCTCTGGAAGGGGGTACATGTATTTCCTTTTTTTATTATAAAGTATAACAATATATACTCGTAACAGGAACCGTTACACCATAAGGTGCCGAAACTAGTCCAGTAGTCGCAAGTGATGCATCAGAAAATGATCGCAATGCAATAATACTAGGGTTGTCAAATCGGTCTTATTTTTGTAACCGGTTACTCGAACAATTTGGTAGTCAAATAATAAACAGCAACAAATACATTATATGTTTGGAAAATGTTCTATCTAAAACGTATTTACACCACAAACATACATAATCATATTAAATAGCATGCTCGTTTACTCGTGTATTTCAAAGTTAACACAGGAAATAGTTGCATGTAACCGCAGTAAGTATTTGTCATGGACAACGAATGTCAGAATGCAGTAAGACGGATTCAATTACAGTTATCTGTACTCTAAATCATGTGCGGTAATTATTCTTTAGAACAAAATTTGCTTGACAAACGTTTTGAGACATGCTTGTTCATTCAATAGTGTACTCTTCAGATTATCTTTACTCTCGAATGTAAAGGCGCGTTCTATCTCAGAAATCTTATATATATGATTCAGCTTTGTGTTCAGATTTTTTATGGTATTGGCGACATCTCTTTGCCAGTATTTAAATTACAGTACAAAATTAACACTAAAATGCAATCCCTGAACACTGTTTTTATCACAAAACTATCCAATTTCGGTCGTATCTATACAAATGCAGATAGTTTGTAGGTCTAAGCCAGGGGAACATGGGGCTCCCAAAAGGGATAAGTAAATGTCCGACTTTTCGATTAAGGATTTTGGTAACCGGTTCCTGGTCATTCACCCGAGTAACCGGATAACCGGCTAACCGTTGATAACCCTACATAATACATCTACATACCAAATCTATAACATCGGTCAATATCTAAATGTCGACCAATCGAGACCTGATCTAACACGGACATTTTGTCAAATACAAAAAAATCAACGCAGATCGCAGTAGTGTTCGTAGCGACACTGCCCACTTTTACATAGGGATATTGGAAAATGCACACATTTCGACTTATAAAGAGCCAGTCTGCAGCAGACATTTTGCCATCTTCAAGAACACGATTAAAATATTCAATTAAACAACTTTTATTGTGGTCCATAAATCTGAGCAAAAGTTGTTATAGCCAGAAATGACTCGGCAAATAATAGGCCATGATTTACATCTGTTCAGAATCTTCACATCGAACATCGTTAAATCGTGTGCATGTAACATATCTTTGTATACCATTGTAAGTCAAAGATGTTAAGACAAAATGAAACAAGAGTCCCAGAGGGCCTGAATCGCTCACCTGGATAATAAAGTAACCATGGGAAATTATTCTTATTACAAACAAGCCCTCGAATGGTACAGAAGAAGAAGTAATTTAAAGAATTAAATCTCAAATTCCCCTATTGAGCCCCGCAACTCCACACCCATCATGTAACCAAAATTAAGACCCCTTTGCAAAAGGATACTCCAGGCCAAATTCGGATAAAATCCCTCAAATGGTACATGAAAAGGATTTTAAAGATTTAAACCTCAATTTCCCTAAAGAATTATCCCTACGGTAGAAACAGGGTTTTAAAGGTTTCACCTTTATTGCCCCTATTGGGGCCCGCTCCTCTCCACCCAGGGGGTACAAACCCTCCAATTTAACAAGATTGAGTCCCCTTGGGCCAAGGATGTTCCAGACTACATAAGGATGAACAGCCTTTATCCCTACGGTAAAAGAAT